CTTGTTCCCTCAGTCCCATTCTTCTCTCCCTCTCAAGTCTCTACTTGGAAGAGTGAAGAGGTCTTTCCCACTCAGAATCATGTACCATTTTAGTGAGCCCACACTCACTACCATTGTACACCAAATTTTCACTGGTCATAGATACCTTAGTTTATCCTGGCTTATAAACAACAATAACTTATTTCTTATAGTTTTGGTGGCAAGGAAGTCCAAGATCAAATCACCAGAAGATGTAGTGGCTGCTGGAGGGCCTACTTGGTTACAGATGGCTGTCTTGTCATTGTAACTCCACATGGTGTAGGGAGCAAATGAATGTTCTGGATGCCTCATTTTAATGGCAATAATTCTATTTATGAGTGTGCTTTCCTTATGACCCAGTCATCTCCCAAAGCTCCTACCTCCTAAACCTAACCTTGGGTTAGGACTTAAATATCCAATCCTTTATAATAGAGAAGTTATCTGTATGTATTATGAACAGAGCCAGCCAGCTCTAAGTAAGAACAGGGCCTCTGTAGATTGTTCTGCAGATACTGCTTCCAGATAGTCCCTTCTACCACCTACTAAATCACCGTCCTTTTTGCCTTGATGGTTTACCCCACATCTACCATCTCTGTTTCTTAGAAGGATGCTCCTAGGAGGAACCTGAACTCTGCCACCTGCTTTGCTGGATGACTTTGGGTTCTAAGTTTTCCTTTCTGCTATATCTTCATCTGTGTCATAATGACAGTATGATCTGCTTTCAAGAGAGCTGGTGATCAATCCAGGTAACATAATAAAGACTCAGCACTAGGTAGGAAATCAATCAATTGAAAAATAAATCAGTGAGTGGGCTGGAAATGTGGCTTAGAGGTAGACTGCTTGCCTAGCATGCATGAAGCCCTGGGTTTGATTCCTCAGTACCACATAAACAGAAAAGGCCAGAAGTGGTGCTATGGCTCAAGTGCTAGCCTTAAGCAAAAGAAGTTCAGGGACAGTACACAGGCCTGAGTTCAAGCCCCAGTACTGGCAAAAAAAAAAAAAAATCAGCAAGTGCCTAGGGATTCCAGGCAAGAAGTGCCTAGTGATGAGAAATGAAAGTTTGAGTGGTGAGTCCACTGTGTACCATGATGTCTCACATATGTGATCCATTTTCCAACTGAGATACTGGGAGGTTGACTTGCCCAAGGTCACTTAGATGGACAGAGTGGAACTGGAACCTGTTCTTCCCCAGCAGAGTTTCGATCCATGCTGTGCTCAAGGAACAGGGGCTGAGGTCCCTGTGGAGGGAGAAGAGGGAAGGATGGAAAAGGCAAGCTACTACATCTAGCCTCAGTCCCAGCTCTGGTGCGATCCTCCAGGACCAGATAGCTGAGGTCATGATGGGCCTACCAGAGGCTTCTGTGCTGGAGAGGGATGTCCTCTTTTGCTGAGCTCTGATAAGAATTCTACTGCCTTGGGTGGGGAGAAGGACCAGCCAGAGCACCTTACAGGATCTCACAGCACTGGATCAGGTCGAGAACTGAATGAAGAGGCTATAATGGAAGGCTGAGCTTGGCCTTCAGTGCTCTCAAGGGTGTATGCTTGGGATCTGCCTTTCTGGATTGTTACTTAGTATGAGTGTTATCTTGGACCAAAGCTTAAGTGGGCAAGAGTAATAACTTTAATTTCTATTACCCTCCCCCCACACATCACATCAGGCTGGCAGGAAACTCCGGTCAGTGAGTTTCTTCCCTACTTTTCCAGTTATATGGTACCAAGAGACTAAGAAAGGGCCTTCCTGTTTCTTCATCATCCTTCCTTTCACACTAGGCTGAGTATTTCCTGCTTCTCACGGTCTGTGGATATGTCCTCAGGCAAGAGAGCAGCTATTGTATGAATTTTCTAGCACAATCTACACACAAACCCACCCTCCCTTGGGTGGTTGGAGACAGGTAAAACTTCTCTCTAGCTCCTCTAGAACTTTTCTCTCATCTTCTCTCCTGACTCAGAGTAAGAAGGAATGGGGAAAGAAAGTCGCTACTGCCTCCTGGGTTCCAGACAAACTACTTGGTCTCTACCTCAATCATTTCTGTCATGAATTCTGAGATCTTCTATGGGTCTGTCCTTTGAAGCATCCTAGCCTGTTTTCTACTTGGCCACAGATTCACAGTCATCTGCCTGAAAGGGCTGGGGAGGAAAAGAAGAGACACCTTTCCAAGTTAGTGCAGAAGCCCTACATGGATCTCTGTACTTCTGGTATAGTATTCCATAACAAGGGTAACATCACAATTTTTGTTTGTTTGTTTGCAGTACTGAGGTTTGAACTCAGGGCCTTGAACTTGATGGGCAGGAGCTCTCCCACTTAGAGAATGCCTCAGCTCCTTGTGCTTTAGTTATACTGAGGGTAAGGTCTCAAGCTTATGGTTTATGCCCAAGTCTGCTTAGACAGTTATCACTTCCCTCCTATTTATATTTCTTTTGTAGCTGGGAGACAGGTACCCACCACGGCACCAAGCTATTGGTTAAGATGGGGTCTTGCTAAGTTTTTACCCTGGTTGGCCTCAAACAGCAATCCTTCCAATTTCTATCTCGCAACTAGTCAGTATTAGAGATGTGAACCACCAGTGCCCAGCTGTTTTTATTTGCTTTAAACCATCTCACTTTTGATTAAAGTTACTAAAAGAGTTTATAGTTCTTGAAATATCACCTCATGCCATCATAACCATTATCACAATGATGACACCTAGCCAGCCAGAAAGAGACAGGGCTTGAATAGCCTCAGAGCCAGAAAGAGATTGTAAAGCTCTAAGCTAGCTCTGTCTGGAGGCCACACCCACCTGGCTGGCCAGTGAAAGTTAGAATCCAAGCCCCTAAATCCAGCCCAGGTTTTCATTTTGTCAGAAGGATGGCTAAGATTTCTCAAAGGGAGGTACCCTGGCTCCTGGCAAACTCTCAGTGGCTGACCATCCTCCAGTCCATTTTGTAAGAAACAGGAGGGCAGATGGAGGTGCCAAAGCCCTGAGGATGCAGCATCTCCTCATAGAGAATTGTAGAATTGTACAGATCTAGTGCAGCTATAAACGTTTTCACCTGGCAGGTGCTGCCCAGTGCCTGTCTGGGACATCCTTGCTCTGTCAGTATGCATAGACTACAGCATGCTCTGTACTTACCCCCCCCCCCCCCATTCCCAGGAGCTCCAGGAAGTACAGCAGCATTTATTGCACACATTTGTTTTAGTACTGGTGAGCACTTAAGTTGATTCCAAGAGTACACCAGGCTACAGAGGAATATCACCATGCCTCATCAGGCACATGATGCCACACTTTTTTCAAAGTAGCTCTTGCAGCCACATGGTGTGCTACAAGTGTGCTACAAGACTCTCACTCTGGAGCTAGTCACTGGGAAGGGTGGAATTTCCCAGTAGCTACACTGCAAGTGACTGAATGTGCTCTAGTCCTTTGTATGTGTGTTTCAAATTGAGCTGGACTGGACTTTCATTTATTTTAAATGGCCCAGAAGAGGCAAGTGTGTGTATGTGTGTATGGTGCTGTGGCTAGATTGGGCTTAAGCATGGTAGGACAGGCAACTAGAAAGACTACTTCTTCAAAGCAGTGGTAGTGCAGGGCCCAGCGAAATCTTTAGGGAAAAGTCTAAATGTCTTTCAGACCCTTTGTGAGAACATATCCACTTATCCTCCATACCCTAACACAGAAAGTTTTTCTTAGATCTAGCCCAAAGTTCTCATTTTCTGTATTTTTTATGCATATACATTATGTTAAGCCACAGTCTTGTTAGAAGGCACTTGTCATTGCCTTTACAATTTTATCATGTTCTTTTTCTTCTTTTTCTTTCTTTTTTTTTGGTCGGTTGTGGGGCTTGAACTCGGGGCCTGGGCACTGTCCCTCAGCTCTTCAGCTCAAGGCGAGTGCTCTACCACTTGAGCCACAGTGCCACTTTCGGTTTTCTGGTGGTTAATTGGAGGTAAAAAGTCTCATGGACGTTTTTCCCGGGCTGGCTTTGAACCGTGATTTTCAGATCTCAGCTTCCTGAGTAGCTAGGATTAATTACAGGCGAGAGCCACCAGCGCCTGGTTCATCATGTTCTTGAACCTGTGAGGTCTGTCTCAGAGTAAGGTAAGAATTTCAGTTCCTGAGCAGTGATGTACCCTCATGGTAGAACACTGCTCTACCATGGGCCAGGCCATGGGTTCCATTACCAGCTAGAGAGAAGAGAGAGAACTCATAGCATTTTGGCCAGATACATTTCTACAGCTCCATTTTCTCCATTCTACCCATTGTCTGCTGACCAGGCTGCAACAATATATCAGAGGCACAAGGAAAGGAGAGAGGGTGGGGTCAGGGGATGTGCGGAGCTGGATTGGAGCCACATTTCCTGCTTGCTGACAGTGACCTGCTTGGGTCAGTCATGTAATCTCCTTGAACTTCATTTCTCTCGTGAGAAAAATGGAAGTTATGATAACCGTACATAGCAGGACTGGTGAAAGACTGACCACTTGTGGGAGAGAGCGGGGGCCCTTTGAGCCCCAGCACCTGGGGACTAGTCTTGAAAATTTCCCATCACCTTCCAAAATCAAGGTTTTTCTCTTCCATGTAGGGTGGGGACTTGCACCACTACATCCACGCGAGCCACGCTCGGCTGTACTTAACACTCAGGACCCTGGATCTACTCACTTCGGGTCCATGTGGACCCTCTTCCCCTCTTCTGTGTCCCCAATTCCCACTCAGACGACAGCATGCCCACCGCCCCCCCCTTACCGCCCACCCCCTTCGCCCCCAGCGCACGCGCGCAACGGGGCACTCACAAAGCGATACTCCCCCCACCCCCTTTCCCCGCCAGCACATAGCTGGAACGCAGGCCAGGCTGGTTGGGCTCCCCCCCCCCCCCCCCCGCCCGGTCCCCGGCAGGTAGTGGAGCGGGAGGGAGGGCTGCGGGCGGGCGGGGAGGGGGAGAGGAGCGCCGGCCGGCGGGGCGGGGCGGGGACCGCCGGGCGGGGGTGCTGACGGCCCGGCCTGGGTGGCGGAGCTGCGAGGGACCGCGGAGCGGAAGGCACGCGGAGCCCAGCCGGAGCCGGAGCCCGCGCCGCCATGCCCTTGGCCTTCTGCGGCAGCGAGAACCACTCGGCCGCCTACCGGGTGGACCAGGGCGTCCTCAACAACGGCTGCTTCGTGGACGCGCTCAACGTGGTGCCGCACGTCTTCCTGCTCTTCATCACCTTTCCCATCCTGTTCATCGGTGAGCGCGCGCGCGCGGAGGACCGGGGAGGGAGGGCGGGCGGGGAGGAGGGGAAGGGAGGCCCGGGGGAGGGGCGGCGCGCCGGGGTCCCGGAGCAGTCCTGCGCCTCTCTCCTGCGGGGCGGGGGGGGGGGTCCCTTGTCCCGGGCAACGCCCTCTGCTCCCCGCATTCTCACACTCAAGCCATCCCTCCACTCTCGGGGGGGGGGGCGTGGATGGAGAGGGTGCCCTCTCCCTCCTCTCCCCACCCCCCCCCCGAGCCCCGCGATGAACACAGCCGATGCTCCTATCCCAAAGGATCCCCAAGTTTGGGCACCGCAGGTGTGCAGAGTTGGGATGGAGAGTAAGGCACGGCGGAGGTCTCTGCGCGTGCGCTAGGGAAGGTGGGGTGTTGCGGGGCCGGCCGCAGCCTAGGTGGCGCAGCGCGGGGAGCCGGGTCACCCCTCCCCCGGGGCACACTGCCGGCTGGTCCGCCGCAGCCCGAGGTGGAGGTGGAGGCGCCGGGGAGCCCCGGTGCCTTCCCGGGGCTGAGCCTCACAGGAATCCGTGGCCTCCCGACAGTCCTGGGGGGCCGGTGAGAGGTGCGAGCTAGGGATTCGGATTCCCGCGCCGGCCCCGCATGTCTGGGGAGTGCAACTTCTCCGGCTCTGTCTCACCGCGCCGCGTAACCGCGCTGCGTAAAGAACGCAGCACCCAGCCTGCCGGCTTGAACGTGGGCTGCAAAGTTGGGCGCCGCGGTCGGAGCCAGGGGCCCCTTCTCTTAGATCCCCTTCATCTCTCGCTCTAAGGCCTTGAATCTCCCAGCCCAGTCAGTTCTGCCCATATGTTGGCGGTCCTTTGGAGTTCCAGCATGGGTTCGTTCACTTTAATTAAGAAAAGTAGGGCCCTGTGCAGTGGCCGCAGTAATCTCAGCCCTGGCAAAAATTTAAAGCTACCCCACCTCGACAAATAAACCAGGCTTAGCGGATTTGTAACTGTAACACCAGCTCCATGGGAAGCATAGGTAGTAGACTCTCCATCGCCTGCTGGCCCAGGCCAAAAAACAAAAACAAAAAACACGTGACCCTATCTGAAACCTACTTAAAGCAAATAAGCGTTGGGGGCGTGGCTTGATTGAAGTGTCCAGTACTTCGAGTACCTAGCAAGTGCCAGGCTCAGTACTCCCCAAACTAATCAACCAACCCAGAGAAGGGGCGGGGGGGAGGAGAAAGACGGGGGAGGGGGAGGAAGGAGAATGCAGTTAAGAATTCAGTGTGTATCCTAGAAAATTAGGTGAGGGAAGGGGTGAGTAGGGGAGAGACAGGCAAGAATGTTGAAAGGGGTAACACTGGTCAAGATGCTTTGTGTTCATAAACTGCTTTGTTAAATGGAACTTCTTTGTACAACTACCTAAAGATAACAGAAGCATTAAAAATGACAAATCTTAAAATCCACGTAGGGGGCTGGGAAGGTGGCTCAGTGGTAAAGCGCTTGCCTTGCATGCATGAGGCCCTGGGTTCGATTCCTCAGCACCCATAAGCAAAAAAAAAAAAAAGCCGGAAGTGGCACTTTGGCTCAAGTGGTAGAACGCTAGCCTTGAACTGAAGAGTTGAGGGGCAGCACCCAGGCTCAGAGTTCAGGCCCACAACCAGACCCAAAAAAAAAAAAGGAACTTAAAATCCACGTAGTTTTGGAAAAGGAAAAATGGTCACAAAGTTAAATTAATAAGAAGTTGCTGTAAGAGCAAGTTGCTAGTTACTGACAAAATGATTAGACAAAATGCAAAAAAAATGTGCAACACATGCTCTTGTGTGTATGGAAATAAGGACTGCACACTTCTGTTCGTTGTTATGTGGTTTAACTCTCTGGTGATAAGTTCCACAAGAGGTCAGTATGTAAAAGGGGTACCAGAATAGGACCCGCCAGCACAGGTCCAGGCTTTGTGCTTGGATGTTTAATTCTTTTTTTTTTTCTTTTTTCTTTTTTTTTGGTTTTGGGGCTTGAACTCTAGGCTTGGGCACTATCCCTCAGCTCTTCAACTCAAGGTGAATACTCTACCGCTTGAGCCACAGCGCCATTTCTGGTTTTCTAGCGGTTTATATGAGGTAAGAGTCTCACAGACTCTGCCCAGGCTGGCTTTGAACCGTGATCCTCAGATCTCAGCCTCCTGAGTAGCTAGGATTAAGGCATGAGCCATGGGTGCCCAGCTGGATGTTTAATTCTTGTGCAGCAGATGTAGCAGGCATCCTCTTCCTCAGCCTCGTTGTGAACCCCGTCCCCACACACCCTCTTATAGTCCATGTTCTTTTCTCCAAGTGGGCCAGGTTTCCTACCTACCTCTTACCATCTCTCCTCTCAGGATGGGGCAGTCAGAGCTCCAAGGTGCACATCCACCATAGTACATGGCTACATTTCCCAGGGCACAACCTACGCTGGATCCTGACCTTCATGCTGCTCTTTGTCCTCGTGTGTGAGATCGCAGAGGGCATCCTGTCTGATGGGTAAGTGACTGAGAACTCAGGAGAGAGTGGGAGTGCTCCAGGAGGCTAGAAAAGACCAAGGAGATTCCAGCTCACCTGCCTCCCATAAGCCAGGATCATTTGCTATGAAATCCAATGCTTTGCCCCACATAGAGAGTGTCCAGTTCTCTTGTGCCAGGCACTAGATACATAGGAAAAACAGGGCCTACTCTCAGTCCATGACAGAGGAGAGAACACAGACCTGCAGGCCAAGTCCCAGGGAAATGAGAGCCTATTAGCAGCTCCCAAGTCCTGTAAAAGATGCCAAGCCTTGTCTACAAGTTGCTGGAGTTAATTCTGGAAGGCTGGTGGAAACAACTAAGCATGTCAGCCATTCTTACTTAAGGCCTTTCCTTGGTTTTCTGCTGTTTTATAAGATGCCATTGCTGGGTCCCTGAGTGGCCATTGTCCATACCTATCTACCTCTAGTCTTATTCCCACAGCTTTTCTCCCCACACCCACCTCTCTCTCTGGGTTTCACCTTCTGGGCCTAACAACTTCTGCCACAGCATAAACGAAACAGTATGTCAAAGTTTTTATATCTGTTTGCAAAACTGTCTCTGGACCTAATCAGAAAGGTCTTGTGTGCATCCAGAAATCCCAGGCCTTAATCATATTTGTACTCACGGCTCAAGGCACATGAAAGTGCCATAAACGTTTATTGAATCCTAGAAGACAAAATAAAATGTTACAAGCAACTTTTCTGGGAGGAGAGAGGAGAAGGCTATATTGATCAAGCTCTCTGGTGGAGAGGTCCTGGAGTGGAACCCGGATGACTAGGGTTCTGACAGGCAGAGTTTAGAAGGAAAATAACAGTGCCGGAGGAGGGGATCAAAGAACAGAGATGACAAGTGTGATCTGTGATAGGATGCCCAGAGGAAAGGTGGACGTGGTGAGAAGGCCTTTAGAAGGCAGGTGGCACTGCAGGAAGAAGGCAGGCAAGGGTGGGAGTGGGCTGAAACATTAGAACAATGTAGAGGAACCAAGGAGGCTGAGGCTTGGAAACTTGCCTGGGGCATCTTGGGGAGGCTCTGAATCCCAGACTGCATGTTTGGATTGGATTCAGCCAGCAGTTGGGAACAGAAGGGAGGTGTCATCAGCCCAGTGATTTTAGGGGAGAGGCTGTGGGTGTCCTGGGCAATTGGAGGCAAGAGAGACTGGAAGTGGAAACAGCCTTGGGAGGTGGCTGTAGTAATGTAGGTGAGAGATGATTGCGGTAGAAATGAGTGTCAGCATCAGGGGAGGGGGCAGGAAGGGAACTGCCAACTCCCTGAGGCAGAATGGATGAATTAGCAAAGCTCAGTGGCTACTTGGGTGACTGATGGGGCAAGAGAAGAGCACTTGGCTCAAGCATCTGAGGTCCAGCCTCTCTGAGTTAGAATCAGATTGTAGCCAGGCGTGGCTCCTGCCAGCATGGTCTAGATTGGGATCTGGCCACAGAGAAACAGGATCCTTCTACTCCTTTATTCTCCCAATCCCCATTATCCCTACATCTGAGCATCAGCAATGATCTCTGTAGTGCCTGCTTGCCTAGGAGCTTCTGATGAGTAAAGTCTCCTAGGACCAGCAAGACAACCAGAGGGTGCACACTTTTGACTAAGTAGCAGATGCCCAGTCTATGTTCCATCCTCACCCCTTCCAAAACAGCACAAATGCTCCAGAGGGTCTAGAGGCATAAACCACCACACCTAGAAATACTCAAATACTCATTGGCCAAACAGGGGATGGCTGATCCGGACAGCCTGGGCATCTGCTAGCACTAGTTTGTGCCAGCTGTGAAACTTCGCAAGTCACCTGGCCTTTCTGAGCCTCACTTTCTCCACCTGTGAAACCAGCATCAAAGCTCTTGTCCAGCTGATTCAGGGTTCATGGAGAATGAAATCAGAGATGGATAGGTTTAGAGCCTAGTGTAGAAAGGCCCTGGACAGAGGATTTGTGTCCAGAATATGAGACCTGGAAGGAATCAGTCCGGGTATTCCCTCCTACGGGTATTCCCTCCTACTGGTGATCAACAGCCTCTGCTCTGTGACTGGGCCCCAAATCAGCACAGTGCAAATGGCCATCTCCTTCCCAGTGCACAGGGCAGCTCTTGGGCTGGGCATTTGTCACTTAGTCTCTAGGGCAGGCAAGCGTGAGGAGCATAGAAAAGAGGCAGACAGAAGACCTGCCTTGTAGCATCTATGTTTAATCCAGACTAGGGACATGTAGGGCTGGTGAAGGTAGACTTCACCTCAAGTTTGATTGAGGGCAGGCCTCATTTAGCAATTCAGATATCTTAAAACCACTGGCCTTCCTGTGCTCCTTAGCAGTTACTCTGGTGTATAATGCTCTGGAAAGATATGAGGAAAATTAATATGTATATGAAAACCCTTCTCAAATCATTGTATGCTGGATTAAGTCTGTGAACACATTCCCTAATGTAGTATGTATCATCCAAGAACGAAGACCCCTGTGCAGAGAGAGAGGAGGGAGGGGAAGCTGGTCATTCCCAAGCTTCTCACAAATGATTGCTTTTTGCTTTCCTTGCTTTTGTATCTCCTCTGGTAGTTGGAAGAACTTTTGCTGAGCATAGTCCCCTTTCAACATTTAAAATCAATATTTACAAACTTACTTAATAAGAGAGCTAGATGTTGCCTTTTCTGGTTGGTTTGGTGGCTCAGTGATGTCCCCAGGGATCCAGCCTCTTCTTGTCTTTCTAGCCTCTTCTCTGTGTGTCAGTCATATCTTCCTCATGATCACAAAGTGGCTGCTCCCCTTCTGGAAGAAAAGGGCAAAGGCCGAGGAGGCATGCCTCTTCCTTGCAGGAAGGATCGTCTTCTATAGCCTTTCTTTTGTATCCCATTGGCCAAGGTTGGGTTATGTGCTCCACCTCCCCAGACCAACCACTGGCAAAGGGTATCTGCTTCAACCAATCAGCCTCCATTCCCCAGGCTGAGTACATTGGTGCTGGGCAGACTCTAGTGGTTCTTTTCTCCAGGAGTGAAGAGCTATTTTGTGAAGAGCCCACATCACCTCTGTACCTGCACCAGAATCCCACCAGAGAGAGTCCCTGTCCCTGAGCTCTTCAGCTCAAGGCGAGTTCTCTACCACTTGAGCTGCAGCACCACTGCCGGTTTTCTGGTGGTTAACATGAGTTAAGGGTCTCATAGATGTTTCTGGCTTTGAACTGTGATCCTCAGATCTCAGCCTCTTGAGTAGCTAGGATTATAGGCATGGTGGATATCCAGTGCCAGGATATCATCCCCATTTCTTTCTTCTGCTTTAGATTTCTATTCATCTGCAGCTTCCCTTCCCTAGACTGCATCATAGCTATAGGCAGGTCCTCCAAGGCTGGAGCCCTTGGCATGCTGCCATGAGCTGCACAAGCAAGGGCAGCACTGAACAGGAAGCTAAAGCAGGCCTTCCGGGGACAGAAGGGTCCCAATGTGACTGGAGCAGAAAGAGCAGGACAGGCAGTGTGGGAGACCACACTGTTGGGCCTCAGGCACCAGGCTGAGCTGCATGGGTCTTACTGTGTTCAGGAGGGAGCCCCCTGTTAAGGGAGAAAGCCTGTGGTCTGGAGGATGCTCTCATTCCTTAGGGGAGTATCACTGAGCAGAGTCCAACCACCACAGAGGCCTTGGAGAGTTCCAGTGGGGAGAGCAGGAGCCGTCACTAACTTCTCTTTGCGCTCATCTTGATAGAGGTATAAGGCGTGTACCTTTGGCTCCTCTGTACATCTATAAAATGAGAAGACTCCGAGTACACATTTCTCCATCACATACTTAGAACTGTGTCTAGTGTAGGGCAAATGCTTAACAAATATTGACTCTTGTTGTTGCTGCAAGTACAGCACTAAGGGAGGGTGTCGGTGCTGACCTGGGCCACTCTGTTAAATGGGTTGTCACTGAGTGATCTGGGACACACAGGCCTCCATTTCCTACACACCCACCGAGCTCTGGGGACAGTTGCCCAGCTGCATTGTGATTCTTGGCTTTGCAGCAGCTGCTGCCATAGCTAACCCTCCTGGTACCTGGGAAAGAAGACCATGAGTGTCAAAGCCTCAACCCTAAGCCCTGAGCCTCACTCTCTGGATTCCTGAGCCCCTTAGTGAGTGGTTTGTTTAAGGTATGGGTATATGAAGTACACTGTGGTTCTGATTTGAGGCCCTACTATGTGCTGAGCAATCAGCACAAGGCCTGGGCTGCTGTACTGGTCAAATCCACATCCTCTCTTTCTCCCCATCTCAGCGTGACGGAATCTCGCCATCTCCACCTGTACATGCCAGCTGGGATGGCGTTCATGGCTGCTGTTACCTCTGTGGTCTACTATCATAACATCGAGACCTCCAACTTCCCCAAGCTGCTGATCGGTAGGACGAGAAGAGCCGGAGGGGGGTGGGGCTCAGGGACATTTTCATTCTTTTCAATGTTTTCTGAGGACTTACATACCAGACAAGCTCCTAAGAGCCACAGAATCAGAACTGCAAAGAAAAGATCACCGCCTTTGTGGAGCTTACAGTCAGGTGGAGGGTGTAGTAAGTAAACAAATGAATGGTGATGCTGTGAAGAAAATCAAGCTGAGCAAGGGAAAGGGGAGGGAGGAGAGACGTGGCAGTCTATTCAGGGTGGCCAGGGCCATTGTCCGATAACAGTGACCAAAAAAAGCCTTCTGATAGGAGCAGACCTGGCAGAGAGGCTGGTGTGGGCAAAGCCCAAAGGGCAGAGGGAAGAACGAAATAGAAGGAGAGGTCAGGAGAAAGCAAAGCAGACTCCTTTTCAATGGGCCTGAGCAGCTGGGCTAACAGTGGTACTGGTATCTGAGATGGCTCAGGAGCAGGAGCTGGGACTGGAGTGCAGGTCAAGCTTTGTGTTCAGAGCATGCTTAAGTTGAGAGATGGTCAACTCTTCTGTCAAGTGAGCAGTTAGATAAGTAAGGTGGACATTCAGGGGAGATGTAAGGCAGAAGATACACTTTCTATCATGGTGAGTTTACAGATGGCATCTAAAACTTGAGCCTGGCTGAGATCTCCTGGAGAGAGTAGAAAATGGCCCCAGGACCAGGCTTGCCAGCACTTAGACACAGGAAGGAGTGCCTGCTTGCAGCTTCTCACTCCCTGTGTCTGAGCCCTGGGAGGAAACAGTGATGGCTTCTGGCCTTTATAGGGCACAGACTGTGGTCCAGGCTCAGTGCTGTGCCTCCGTTACCTCAGTAGTTCCCATGACTGTGCTGTTGGTGGGGGGAGGGTCAGAAAATCAGAGAGGTTTAAAATAACACCAGCAAACACTCATTTAGCACTGATGACATGCCAGGCTCTGACCCAAGCATAAGACAAATTCATGAAATCCTTACAAGCCTGTCACATGCATCTCATTATTGTTTCCCCTCTACTGTGCAGAAAGCTGGAGTCGGGCTAAGTTCCTCTCACAGTGTACCCAACTAGTCAAAAGATGCAGCCCGATTCTGACATCCATGCACGTTCCTGACTGCTTCTGAGACCATGTGCCTCAGGGTCTCAGCCTGAACTTACAGTCAGAGGTGTATCAGATGTGCTTCTGTGGGCCACGTGTCTAAGGTTGAGCTGTGTGCATCTGGTGGTTAAATCATGGCCTTGAGGAATTGGGATATCTGGTTGATGTTGGGGTCTAGAACCCTCCATGCTCAGGTCTTGGCAGTGCCATGTTGTTGTTAGAAGATAAGAGATAATTGCTGATTTAGTCATGGGTCTGGCCTTCTATGGACGGTGGAATCTGAGCTGAATCAAGATTATCCAGGTGATATCCAGGTGGTATCCTGATCTCAGAACCCTTCCCTCCCACCCCGAGATGATATGCATGGAGGCTGGGGCAGCAGTTGACGACCCCCTGCTCCAGTTTCTGGATCAACCCTCATCTAGAGGGTCCCTCACTAACTACCAAGGCCTAGCTGAGTGGAGACCCCTTGGAAACATCCTGTGAGCATCTGGCTAATTCCTTTTCTCATTTTCCAGTGCATGATAGTGTGTGCACGTGTGCATGTGTGCACACGCGCAGACACACACAATGTTCTCTGGGAACAACCTTCATCAGACATGGATGGGTTAGTCCTTTTCCAAGGACAAAGGCTTTCCCTTTCAGGAAAAACTTCAAGCATGTCTTCAGAGACAGAAATTCTATAAGAAGGGAAAGTGGATGAGGTTTTAGGTGCATAATGGCTGTATCTGTAAGCTATAGGGAGAAAGATGGCCATCAGAGGAGGCTATTGTAGATCTGGAGTTTCACAGAAAGATTAACAATGTGGCTTACATTGTCTTATGAAAGAACTATAATCCTCAGGCTCCAGATGAGCTCGAGATGTCTTTTGCATGGAAGACATGTCTGAGCAGGAACTGGAATGGAGAGAAAGGAGCTGAGTACTTCAGGAAGAGGTGCCAAGGCCCTGAGGCAAGAGGAAAAAGGGCATTAGGGAATCTGGAAGGAATGTGGAGAGCACAAAGCAGCTGGACCTTGGAGGCTAAAGCTTCTTCAGGACCTCTAAGGGCACACCACAGGCCTTGGTCTTTATCCCAGTGGCACTAAGAAGTTGTTTGGGGGTGTTTGTTTTGTTTTGTTATTTTTGAGACAGAGTCTCAAAAATGTTGGTCTCAACTTTGTAATCTTCCTGCTTCAAATGCTGGGAGGTTAGTGGGTGCCAGTATATTTGTTTTGTTTTTATGTGTGTGTGTATTTGTTTGTATATATAGTAACATAATAAATGTTACCATCTTAAGCATTTATAAATTCCTTGGCACTAAGTACATTCACACTGGAACTATCCCCCACTATCCATCTCTAGAACTTTTCTCATTCCCCCCAAACTGAAATTCTACAAACACCAACTACTCTTAGACCACTTAGACACCTTTCCCAGGGGGAGTGGGCAGACTCACCCAGGGGACAGTCAAGGAGGCACAAGTGGCCTCCAGTTGCAGGTTCCTGTGACCTGGAGCCCAGATGGAGCTTCTGCCCACTCTCTTCCTGCCCTCACCTGGGATCCTAAGACAATGGCACCAGCCCCTTTGGGTACACTCAGCCTGGGCCATATGGTGGAACCCAATGTCGTCTACTTCCCAGGCCAGTCAGGCCAAGCAGATCTCCATCATCCCCAAGAGATGATTTTACCCCTCTGGGATAGAAGGTGTAAGTCTCCTTCACTCACTATGAGTCCTCCCTAGAGGAGGGGGCTTGAGGCTGGCTTTACTCCGTGTAGCTCTCAGAGTAAGGTCAGGAGCCACCAGTGCCAAAGCATCCCCTCAAGAGTGACTGAACTAGTTAATGCTATGTTTTATTGTCCCAAGCTGACAGTGGCTGATTGGTGAATTAGAGGAAGGGGACCATCAAGTTAGGACAGTCCACCCTAGCTTCTGATGCTTACTCTGCTTGAAATCTGGTTTGAAGATAATAAAAATATCAACAACTGATGCCCAAAGAGTACCTACTGCACCAAGCTCACTGTGGTAAATGTTTTCTATATACTATTTACAACCACTGTCAATGGTCCCCATTTTATTGATGGGGAAACTGAGGGTCTAGATGACTTATCCAAGATCACACCGCTATTTTGTCACAGGATGTGAACCCAGGTGTCTCTGTCTGCAGGGACCTCGCCTCTAACCACTCTACAGCACTGCCTTATAAGACGACTCACTTTTTCTGTACCCCCTACCTCCCTAGGCCCCCTAGGGGACATCACCATGGGCTTGGGACTATGAGTGTGAGACTCCTGGTGGGCTCTCACCCTCCCTTTGCCATGAGCTGGCTGTGAATGTGCACAGGTTACCTCCTCTTCTCTCCCCTGCTCTTTCTTATGAGGCCTCAGTTTCCTTACCTATAGAAAGAAAGGCCAGATTGGCTGAGATATCCCAAGCTTGAACGTTACACTAGGAAGTCCTTACAGCCTGGGGTTTGCAGGCATGAGCTCTGGCACTAGGCTAGTCCAGTTCTGCCACTTAATGGCTTCATGGCCCCAATCTTTCTGAGCCTCAATTCATTTATCTGACAAATTGAGCATGATGGCAACTTTCCCACCCAAAGTTGTAGGAAGGAGTGAGAGAATGTGTTTAAAGTGCTTACTTGGCGCGGTGCCTATAACTTGGTTAACTTCAAGAAATAATTGCCCTATTCTTCTCGTTATTACTTATTCAAGGGAGATTTGTCTGACTAGTTTGATTTATGAGATCATTTTGGATATGCCTGTAATGACTGTTACAATATGTCACTTCATCTCAAAGGGTCACATTCTGGTATATTACATGTACACAGCCTCTTGTCAGACATGGATGCACATGCATAGGCACATGCATACACACACACCTCTCCAGCACACCCACTTGCGCACACACACACACACACACACACACACACACGTCCTCTGTGCTCTTGGGTCTCTCCTCCACAGCCCTGCTCATCTACTGGACCTTGGCCTTTATCACCAAGACCATCAAGTTTGTTAAGTTCTACGACCACGCCATTGGCTTCTCGCAGCTGCGCTTCTGCCTGACAGGGCTGCTGGTGGTCCTGTACGGGATGCTGCTTCTGGTGGAGCTCAATGTCATCCGGGTGAGGGTAAGGAGACCATCTGTGGATGGACCTGGATGTGGGCAAGAAGGGCATGGGGTCTGACCCTCATCCTGTTCCTGGGTGTGGGGTGCCCATCTGCTGCAACAGCTAAGCCCCAGAAGAGTCTATAATGAGCCATTATCCACCCCAGAAAAGGGAGCAGAGGCACTAAATGAAGTTTTCTTAAAAAGTCACTCCATCTGGCTCAGTGGCCACTACTCTAGGTTCCCAGAGGGAGAGAAGGAGGTCAGCATGTTTAGCAGAGGTTGAAGCTCATAGATATAAAAACTTTAGGAGCTGGCTTTCCCCACTTCATTTTGTTTAGGGCCAGGAGCATGTATCTGTGCTTTTTTTTTTTTTTTTTGTCAGTTGGCCTGGGCACTGTCCCTCAGCTCTTCAGCTCAAGGCGAGTGTTCTAGCACTTGAGCCACAGCGCCACTTCTGGATTTTTCTGCTTACGTGGTGCTGAGGAATCGAACCCAGGCCTCATGCATGCAAGGCAAGCACTCTACCACTGAGCCACCTTCCCAGCCCGTCTGTGCTTTTTATAAAAATGACTTTTTATTGTTATTATAAAGGTGATATAAAAAGGGGTTATAATTACATAAATCAGGTAAAGAGTACATTTCTTTTTGGACAATGTGACGCCTTCTCTTGATCTCTCCCAGTTTTTCCCTACCATTGTTTGTGCTTTAACGTATTCATATATGTGATGGAGTGTACACCTGTCTTTGTTTTGTTATCTTTCTTGTATTCCCCTTTCCCCTTCAGTTCTTACCTCAGACAGACTCCAGCCTTCTCCTTCCCCTGTCCCAGCCCTCACCTGCTCAAGTAGCATAGACCAAGCTACTTTGTTTCCCATGCTATGTTCTTATTCATATAATATCATATGCATCCCACAAAAGAATAATCCATTTAGGGTTTTTCCCTCGATAGTAGATACATAAGATTTTCCCCTCAATATTTATTTTACAAAAATAAAATTTTACTTTATAAGAAAATTATATGCTGCAGGGTTGGAGGCATGGCTCAGGTGGTAGAGCACCAGCCAGTGAGATACCAAGTTCAAGTTCTGATTGCAGGAAGAGGGTATATGCTATTTTCCACATGATATTTTTCTCACCCAATAAATATCTCCCATGACTCCTTCATAGCAGTCTAATATGTCTCATCCAGGCTTCTCAAGGACTGCATGCAGATGAGCCTTCATGTATTCAGTATCACAGGTGGACATTTGTCTTGTTGCCAAGTTTTTGGCGGTACCAGGGGTTTGAACTCAGGGTCTTGAACTTTCTAGGCTGGTGCAATACCACTGAGCCATGCCTCCCAACCTGTTGCCAATTTCTTGCCTTCTCAAGTAATAGATAGTGCATTGAGCAAACCTTTATCTGTATACATTGCTGCTCTTGGTCCTGTGGGAGAGAGAGCCCAATGAGAGAGTTAGTGGATCAAAGTTTCTCTGCATTTTAAGCTGTAATTAGTGTTGTAGATTCCTAGTCAGAAAGGCTGTGATCTACCTGCAGTGAATGAATAAACCCTTCCTTCACCCTCCAGTCAGCCATGGAGTAGAAGTGCTTGCTAACTTGGACCTTCCAATGAGTGTAAGATGCTCATTTAAATAACATTTCTCTGGTTTTCCTTTTTTTAAGTGGTGGTCCATATGATACAAGGCCCTTATATTCCCTCCCTCCATTGCCCCTCATAGTAGCTGAATCTTGTCCAACTATTCCTTACTAGTAAGTGGAGAAGTCAGGGCTCAAACCTAGATCTGCATGCTTCAAGTACTGGGAACACTGTATGAAACCCAGTGAGGTCCTTAGTTCTGTGGGGAAGACAATACCTAGGAGATGCTTGTTCTTCCCCAAATCAACTTCAGCCCAATCCAGCCCAGCCTGTGAGGTTCAGAGTAGAGCCAGTGAATACTTACAAAGTGATGATGCTCTGGGTCTTTCAGAATAATTATAGACAAGACATGGTGGCATCTGGTGGAGGTCCAGTGTGGAACATCACATCCTAGATTCTTGCTGGGGTGGTGATGGGTAGTGAAGAGTTAACCTTACCATATCCATGTGCCCCACAGAGATACATATTCTTCAAGACTCCCAGAGAGGTGAAGCCCCCTGAGGACCTGCAGGACCTGGGGGTGCGCTTCCTGCAGCCCTTCGTGAACTTGCTATCCAAGGGTACCTACTGGTGGATGAATGCCTTCATCAAGACTGCCCACAAAAAGCCCATTGATCTGCGAGCCATCGGGAAACTGCCCATCGCCATGAGGGCCCTCACCAACTACCGACGGCTATGCGAGGCCTTTGATGCCCAGGCGGTCAGTGGGGCATGGCTACTCCACCCATTCTCTGACCTACAGTGTAGAGTCATAGACAAGGACTCAGAGGGCTCCCGTTCAAACCCATGGTAGGCAGGTGTGGAAACTGAGGCCTCGTGAGAGGACTAGGCTTGCCGTAAGTCACACACTGAGCCAGGGACAAGTTCAGGACTAAAGATTCACAGAATGGTCACAGTTGGACTGCTCACAGGTCATAGGTCCCTCATTCAGATGGGGAAATAGGTCTGATAAGTCCCACTCTTCTTCCCTCTGAGTCTCATTAAAGTAGATTAAAAAAAAACAAAAAACAGGGCTGGGAAGGTGGCTCAGTGGTAAGAGCACTTGCCTTGCATGCCTGAGGCCCTGGGTTCGATTCCCAGCACCACATAAGCAAAAAGAAAAAAGCCGGAAGTGGTGCTCTGGCTCAAGTGGTAGAGCGCTAGCCTTGAGCTGAAGAGCTGAGGGACAGCGCCCAGGCCCAGAGTTCAGGCCCCACGACTGGAACAAAAAAAAAAAACAAAAAAAAAACAGGAGGGTAGAGATATCCCATTCTTATGCTAACACTGTGAGTTTGGCCAGGCAGACATTGTCCCATATCAGAAAAAGAGAAACCATCCCCAGACCTGCCTACAGCTGGCCCATAGCTAGCAGGTGTCAGTGCCCATTTCCTGACTTCCTGTCCAGTGCTTCTTCACTGCTGCTGCCCAGCACCACTAAGGCAGGCACAGAGGGCAGTGGTCATGGGTGAGTGTGGTTCATGTCACTCCCTAAGCCTGGTGTTCTGTTCATCACACATCCTTGGGGCCTTGATCAGTCCTTTAGCCTCAGTTTCCCCATCTGTACCGTGTTGACGTTGACAGGGCCCACTCAAATATGCCTTTGATTGCTCTGTAACTTCTTCTTGGGGCTCACCTGTTTGTAGATAAAACTCCCTCTGGGTTTCTCCAGGTGGTAAGAGCCAGGGGCTTCCTGGGAGCTGGGCTCTGCTGTGAATGAATCCTCAGCCACTCTGACCTGGCCATGGTTCTCTCTGGGCAGCGGAAGGATACACAGAGCACACAGGGAGCTCGGGCCATCTGGCGGGCCCTCTGCCACGCCTTTGGGAGACGCCTAGTCCTCAGCAGTACTTTCCGCATCTTGGCTGACCTGCTGGGCTTTGCTGGACCACTCTGCATCTTTGGGATTGTGGATCATCTTGGGAAGGAGAACCATGTCTTCCAGCCCAAGGTAGGCTGGAAGGTAGGGAAGGGCACCCTTGAGGAGATTTGTACTCTTGTGAGAGAGTGAAAGAGGTTGATGTGTCTCAGCCGTGGCCCCAGGGAGGGGAGGATGGTTGCCCACACAAGCACAAAAAGCCTTAGGAACGTGGCCTCTGGAAGCTGTTCTGTATCTGGTCAACTGAAATGGCAACAGGCAAGCTTGTACCCTAGGGGATTCCTGGTGCCTAATTTTCTCCACGGTCATGGCCGTGACCACTCCTGCTATGAAGTCACTGGGAAAGTTGCAGAAAGTACGTGTGGCAACCCAGGGCCCAGAGACCCCGTGATCGGTTAGGTGTGCTGATTTTTAGTTCTTGTCTTCATCATAGTCTCAGAGGACACATGAAGGGCCTTCTTCGCCTCTGCATACTTTCATTCTGGAGGTTCTACAGGGGTATTTGGGAGGGTGGCTCTCAGAAGAGTCAGAAGCCTCCATGGGCAGGACTTCTTTCCCGACTCCAGTTTCTACTTAGAGCTATGCTAGTCTTCTAAAAATGCTAGACCTTCCTTCCCATTAAAGCTTAATGATGAAAGGGCTGACATCAATCAAGATACTTAAACTACTTTGTTGAATGGAAACTCCTTTGTACAGCTTCTTAAAGATAATACAAAATGTAATTTTTTTAAATAAAGAAGCTTTTATTAATAGAAGCTTCCATGACTTAAAGCTAGTTGAAACCCACTAGACTAGATAATATCTTTCCAGCTCAAAAGATGCTGTGATCTGAAATATTTTGCCTAAAAGTGTCAGAAAGCTATTTCTAGGGGTGATTTTCCCTGCTTGGGCCAGTAGCTCCCACTATAGGGGCATAAGGCCCTTATTCTGTATAGCCACTTAGATTTAGATGGCCCAAAAGGGAAATTTTACCCCAATAAGACTCTCAGCCTTTTTAAGATTCCCAGTGAGGATGCCATTAGTATTTTAACCACAGTCAGACACAATGAAGAGAATTAGTCATGAGGGCCCTTAATAATTTATAATGCCTCTTGTATAGCATTCATTCATGATTGTAGCAGTCAATCCCTCAGGAAGCTTATATTAATTTTTCTAGAGTTATAATTAGCCGGCTGAGCACTTTAGGTAAGAAATACGATATGTTAAATCTGCGCGTCTGATTTATTCATCAAGTATTTATTGAACCCTACTGTGTGTGAGACCTAAGTAGGGCAGTGAGAATATGAAGGTACTGGTTGTGCTGAGGACTTTTGGGGGGAGGGGTGAAGTATTGGGGATTGAACTCAGGGGCCTCCCATCTGCTGAACAGGTGCTCTGTCACTTGAGCCACAACTCTAGCCCCTTTTTGCATAGGTTATTTTCAGGGTAGGATATAGATTTATGTGCTTTCGTAAGACTGGAACATAATCTTACTTGTGATTTTCTATGTCTGACCATTGTGCTTCCCCTGTAGCTTGGGTAAGGGGTCTGTGTCACCACACCCAGCCATTGGTTAAGATGGAGTCTCAAGACCTTTTTTTTTTTTTTTTTTTTTGGCCAGGCTGGCCCTGAACCATGATCCCAGAATCTCAACCTCTCAAGTAGCTAGGGTTAGGGTTACAGATCGAGCCATCACAACCAGCAAGAAGACGACTTTTAACAACAATGGCCACTTAGGGAGTGGCTGGTTGTGTTCAGGAGTTAGTTGTGCCTTTTCATATTTAACTCCTACAAAAACACTTTTGAAATGAGTACTTATTTTGTAACAGTGTATTGGGATATATTTACCATACCATATAATTCGTGAAATAGGTACTGTTATCTCTGTTTTACAGATGAGAAACTTGAGGTTCAAAGAAGTTGAGCAACTTTCCCCACGATCACTCAGCTAGTTAATAATAGAGTCAGTTTTGAACCTAAGTCTCATTCACTCCATAGTCTGGAAAATTAAAAATACAATACTAAATTGATTGTTACTTACCAAACCATCACTTCTGGGTCTAAAGATTGTGAAATTCAGTGATGGAGAGAAAAATCTGAACTTGATGATACTGGAATTTTGAACTCAGGGTCCTATGCTTGCTAAGCAAGTACTCCATTTCTTGCTACACCTCTAGCTCTTTTTTACTTCAGTTATTTTTTTAGGTAGAATCTTGAATTTTTCCTCAATGCTGTCCTTGAACCATCATCCTCTTATCGCTACCTCCTAAAGAGATGGTCTTATAGGCATGAGTGACCATACTTGGCAAAATATTTTATCCTGTATATTACATAAGACCATGAGGAGAAAACTGGAAAGAGGAATGGCCAACCCAGCTTGTGGTCCTAGACACCTTAAGATGGATATTAGATGTGGTATGGACAGTCAAGTAGGAGTTGGTTCAATCAAGAATACAACTGTGGGGCTGGGAAGGTGGCTCAGTGGTAGAGTGCTTTTGCCTTGCATGCATGAGGCCCTGGGTTCGATTCCTCAGCACCACATAAGCAGAAAAAGCCAGAAGCAGCGCTGTGGCTCAAGTGGTAAAGTGCTAGTCTTGAGCTAAAGAGCTGAGGGACAGCACCCAGGCCCACAGTTCAGGCCCCACTCCAGGAAAAAAAAGAATACAACTGTGTGTAGGTGGTTCATGCCTATAGTTACTCAGGAGGCTGTAAAGACAACTTTTGTTTTGAGAGGTGGTCAAGTACTGGGGTTTGAACTCAGGGCCTTGCACTTGCTAGGCCAGTGCCCTTCCCCTTGAACCATATCTTCACTCTTTTTGCTTTTAGGTTATTTTCAGTTATAGTCTCAAACTTTTGCCCAGGCTACCTTCCAACCACACTCCTCCCATCTATGCTTCCTGGGTAGTTGAGTTACAGGCATTTAACCCAACTGTGCCTAGCAAGAATGTGAGGATTCTTCTTACTGATTTAGACATTGATGGCTTTTAAAGCCTTGCCCAGCATTTTTAATCTCTGACCTTTACCTGACCCAGAAAAGAGAAGAGAAGAGATTACTTCTCTCACCTACAAGGATGTCACCTTCAGTCTTAGTGAGATCATAGAAACCCCAGAAAATTCTCCATTCACAATCCTGCAGCAACATGGAGCTGGTTGTTAATATTAGGCAGAAATGACACTGGCCAGAGCCTTTATCAGCTTGTCCAACCATCCTTTTCTTCCTGTGTCCCCTAACCCTTGGAGGATTCTTCTAAAGATAGAACTCTGCATATATGAGAGAGGGTAAGAATGATATTTAGAAGTTTATCTCAGAGGCACCTTTGCAGACTTTTCCCCTTAATTTATAGACAAACTCTGGATTTATTACCCTCTCATTGGAATGTTCTAGTCCCAGTTCCTTATCAGCACACAAATCCCCGAGACAGATGGTCCTGCCTCAGTGGCAGCGGGCCTTATCAGATTATAATATTTGTTCCCTGCAGTCCAAATACAATCAGTGAGTTTCCGACATGGAAACGAGAGGTGAAAGTAAATACAGTCCCCAGGCTCCGGAACAAGGAACTCTCCATCCTATGTTTGCCTTATTTGGATTAGTTGTCATCTAAGCCCAGAAAATGGGTAACAGGGACCATTTACTGGGATTGCTTGGTTCGTCTCCTGGCCTTCCAGCAGCAATACCCAGAGAGCAGGGGTTACTGTGATTTTTAGAAGCTCCTTAGCTATGTACTGCAGTGGTTAATCTTAATTAGAGCCTGGAGGAGGAAGCTCAGCCTGAATCCAACCTGCTTCAGTCCACATAGGTTACACCCACAGTTTATTCTTACCAATGGCTGCCCTGTCCTTGCTTCCCTTCCAGGATACACAGTTGGCAAAAAGCACATTGCCTTTGGCATCCACAAGGATAAGAGGTTCTAGTTTCTCCTGTAGCGTGTCTTTAGGTATTTTTTTAATTGCCATTATAAAGGTGATATACAGAAGGAGTATAGTTACATAAGTCAGGTTATAGTCAGGTTATAACGACAATATCACCTCCTCCCCATTTCTTGACTGTCTCCCAGTTTTTCCCTCCCATCCTCACTCACAAGTTGTGTAGTTCATGTTCAACACAGTGTCCAGTGAGTACCCCTGCTGTATCTGTTCACCCTTTGTCCCTCCATTTCTGCGCAGCACCCCCCCCCACACCTTCACAAAGACAGTTAAGCAAACAATACAAAAAGGAGATAAAAGTAGCAACAAGCCAAAAAAAAACCCTTGTTTCCAATTCCCAGAATTCATTACAATAAATATTATCTTATATGATCAGATGCACATAGGCATTGTGCCTTTGTGTTCTTCTCCTGAGTATCCTCCTTTGGACTTTAGGTATTTTTGTGACCTGCTGGTTTTCTCATGCTCTTGTCTCCCTGCCTCTCACTAGAAAATGCTGGGACCTAGGCTGATTCTGCCCATGATCCAGTTCTTTCCAGCCCCTGCCCCACCCCCACTCCAATCTGTCACTTGCAGCTGATGCCACCGATCTGGCTGGAGGGCTAGGAAATTGGATTCATAAAGAATCGCTGGTGTCTGAAACCTGCTAGCATTGCTCTGGGATATCAGCTGCTCCAGGAGGAGGGGGCAGGGGAGGGTGGGGGGCAGGGAGAAATGGATCTAAGGCCAAAGCTTCAAATGGACTCTAAGCCCCAGTAGGGAAGATGTGTGTGATGCTAATGAACATGTGTGCATGGAGTACAAATGTTTCTGACATGTTCTTCTAGAATTGGCTTATAGTTCTGAATGTATGTTCTTCTGTCTGTCCTTCTGTTTCTTGCTCTGTGTGTGTGTGTGTGTGTGTGTGTGTATATGCATGCCATCCCAATTGTGACCATATTTGTGGCTCTCACTATGGGTGGTCTAATCCACCCAAATACACAAGTGCTCCATGATGCTGGTATGCTAGTGTGTACATGGGCTTCTTCATGACAATGCCCAGGAAGCTGCCCGGGCCTGGAGAGCCTGCCTTCAGGTCACCGAGTCCTCAGCCACCAAGACTGTTCAGCGTCACCTCTTCCAGGAAAGCCCTACCCATGTTAAATTAGATGCTTCTCCTTTGTGCTCCCACAATATCATGAATGGCTGGAGTACCGCTCAGTATACATCTGTGAAGCCATGGGTTCAAACCCTAGCACCACAAAGAAGCATCACCCCTTTTCTTTCCTCCAACTTGACCATGAATCCTCCAAGAGTTCAGACAGGAGCTGCATTATCTGATCTCTGTACCAAGCACCCAGCTTCCTGAGTGACCCCAGTAGACCTGTGGAAATTGATCCTACAATGATCCAGTACATTAGTGAGATCCGGAGTCAGGAACTCCAGGTCGTGACAAGATCTTCCACTCAGAAGATTCCACAGTGGCTTCTGGTCCCTGCTCTCCCCAATAGAGAGAAATCTTTCCCACAGATACAGGGAGAAGAAGCCATACATAAGATTAGACAACTCTGTGAGCCAGGAAGGCTGGTTTAGAGGCGCCTCTTAATGAAATCTTGCACCCAAGGTCCAGGAACTTCTTAGTTTAGGAAAAGAACTCAACTCAGAGCTGCTCTATCCTGGCAGAATATACTTTCAGGCTATTTTTTGTGATTTTAGGGTTTCAACTCAGAGCCTCATACTTGAGAGGCAAGTATTTACCCTTAAGTCATCCTCAACCCTATTTGTGCTTTAGTTATTTTTTAGGTAGGGTCTTGTTTTTACCCAGGGCTAGCCTCAGACCCTGATCATAAGCATGGGCTACCTCACAATGTTTGTAGGTTGAGATGGGATCTTGCTAACTTTCAGCCCTCGATAGACCTTGAACTTGGATCCACCCAATCTTTGCCATCTAAGCAACTACAGTTACAGTAGCTGAGCCATAGAACCAGACCTTGACCTTGGGTTCCTTCTCACTTTCTTCCCTTTGCTGTTTACCCTGCAGCAGCTCCCACCCCCATCCAAAATGCATGCAGAGTTCAGGGTCCAAAAGGAGAGAGTTATGTATTCATGGAAACATTGGTGGGGGCTTTGCTGCAAAGAGATGGATTTATCAAGATCAAAGTTTCCCTGGAAGCTAGTGGTGCTGAATTTGGAAACAGACACACTGTTATTCCCTGGTATCTTTAGCAACAAAAGCAAAATGTTTCGCTCCACTGATTAGCATCTGGGATCTTGCTAGAAGTGCAAAGAGAAAGCCTTAAATAAAAAAGGAGGTCCTGGGAGCCCACAGAGCTGGGTGCTCAGGTCTTTGATCCTTTCAGTCTGTTGTCACTGCCGATTTCCCATCTGTCCCCCGGGAGCATTACAGTGCCAGGTTTCCCACTGGTCTTTTCTGTCCAAAAGTCACTGCACGGCAGACTGTTGGTACACACGGATGAGGCCGCAGCTGATTTCATTCCTGTAGCTGAGAGCGCATGATGAGATTTTCTCTAGCAGGTCTGGCTTTGCTCTATTTATTCTTGTTCCCTGCACAGGGAGCTCCCTTGGGCGTTGTGCCACAATGCTGAGAGCCTCTAGGCCTGAGGTTAGAAATGAGTTGCATTCTGTTTCAAATGGGAGGTGAAGAAGGCACAGGCAGCCCTCCTTATACTTAGCAGAAGGCTTAGTTGGATTTATTTGTCGGGCTTTTCACTCATAAAGAATTGCAAGCATGGGGGTGGTCTTTTGATAATCAGGGCTACAATGGCCCAGTGGTATGTACTGATGATGTCATTTTGTTGGTAATGACAATTACCTCTGTTTCTGACCTCTTTCCAACAGACACAATTTCTCGGGGTATATTTTGTCTCATCCCAAGAGTTCCTTGGTAACGCCTACGTCTTAGCTGTGCTTCTGTTCCTTGCCCTCCTACTACAAAGGACATTTCTGCAGGCTTCTTACTATGTCGCCATTGAAACTGGTATTAACTTGAGAGGAGCAATACAGGTATTGTGTGATCCACCGTAAGAAGTACACTATTCCTTCTCATAAACGTGAATAGTTCTGATGTGAATTTATTTTTGTTGCCCTTCATCTGTGTTTGGAAATAACCATTGCGAAGGTATTATGGGATAGTGGAAAGTGTTTGGGGCTGGATTTGGGACATGTAGTAAGTAATTCTAGCTCTGGCCCTTCCTCGGACTATGCAAAAGATGAGATGTCAGCTGCTTAGCCCTTGGGCCTCCTTACCTTTTATTTTATTTTATTTTATTTTTGTCAGTCGTGGGGCTTGAACTCTGGGCCTGGGCGCTGTCCCTCAGCTCTTCAACTCAAGGCGAGCGCTCTACCACTTGAGCTGCAGTGCCACTTCCGGTTTTCTGGTGGTTTATTGGAGATAGGAGTCTCACAGTCTCTCCTGCCCGGGCTGGCTTTGAACCTCGATCCTCAGATCTCAGCCTCCTGCATAGCTAGGATTACAGGCGTGAGCCACCAGCGCCCGGCTCCTCCTTACCTTTTAGAATGGCAAACATCACCATACACTCGTAGCATTCCTTCCTGCTGAGTACAGAGGCAACCTCAGAGTCCTTCTCTGCAATTCCTCCAGAGTCTGCTACCAGCTGGTCTTCTTTTGGGCACAGAAATACAAATTCATGTATGTACTAACTCACCATAGTGTCTAAGAACTTGAGTCTGGGATCACTTCTAAGAGTCACTAGTCTGATCTGACTCATGACTTACATTTGTTTGCTTGTTTTCTTGGCAGTACTGGGGATTGAACTCAGGGCCTTGCACTTGCTAGATTCCTCCAACCCCTTATTTGGTTATTTTCAAGAATCTTGATTTATGCCCTGACCAATGGGCTGTGATCCTCCTACTGTGCTTTCTCTCCCTGTCACTGGGGGGGGGGGGGGGGTAATAGGTGCATGTTACTGTGCCCAGCCACTGTACTTCTCCCATAAGTAGGATAATGGTGTGTGCCTCTGCACCTTGTCATTAGTAGAGATGCTCATGCTGGCTTTGAACCACAATCCCCCAATCTCTTCTTCCCAAGTAGGTAGGATTACAGACTTGAACTACCCCTTCCCCATAGATTCTAGATTCTTGGTCCTGGTTTTTAGAGTTCATTGGAAGGATGATCGGTCAGTGAAGATGCAAGGCCCCTTTGAAGATGGTAGTGATATGAGTTACCCAAGCCCCAGGATTCCATTAAAAATTTCAGCTCATGGTTGAAATAGCAAATCCTTTATGAAAGTCGCTTACATAGGATAGAAGATTCCCATAGATTCAGGACTTGTACAGCAGGTACACAATCATCTAAGACCATAGATTCTATGCTAGAAATTCTCAAGAGGAGAACAAGGGCTAGCTTGCTAATGCTGCCATTCCTAGTAATTTCCATACATGGTGGCAACATCTTAAAGCTACTTTATTCTTGTTTTATATTTTTTAGAGTCAGTAACATTGGCTGGTCCCTTGGGAGCCAGAATTGAGGCTTTTCTAAAAGGGAATGAAAAGAAAAAGATGTAGCCTGGGCTGGAGACAATATTAAAAGCCAAAGTCTGGCTATTCTATTTGTGAGTCTATGTGAATGTTGCCTCTTACGTTGTATGGTGCACAACCTGTGCAGCTATGCAAACAATACTGCCCACTCTAAATGGATTTTCAGGGAGAAATCAGAGGATTTGCTCAGGGATACCATCATGTGAGAATAGTAGAAAGCACCTAGAAAAAAAGACCTTCAAAGGTTCATAGAAGCTCAGGCTTAGGAACAGCAAAACCACTGCTTCCCAGATTCTACCCAGACCCTGTATGTGACTTATAGCACCATAGCCAATTTTATGGTTGGATAATTTTGTAATTAAATCGATTTTGTATGTGTATGTCATAAATCACCTGCCAGCCTAGAATTTTCCAATTACACTAAAAGAGCCAAAAAATGTTTTATAATGTATTAACTTGTAATAAGGTTTTTAAAAAATCAGATTGCTTGAATCATTTACATTAATGAGATATATGAATACATGTGCCCTCGAAAAGAGATGCTGCATTAATTACAGAAACAAATTATGAAGTGAAAATTCTTCCTTGCAGAGAGTTACAGAAAGTTATTTATAAAAAAATTACCCTCATTGATGACTATGCGTCTTTGTAAGTTAGACAACTGTCATATTGTCCGTGAAAAGTTATTAAACAGGAGCTTTGAAGGTGGCTTAGTGGTAGAGTGCTTGCCTTGCATGTATAAGGCCATGGATTCGATTCCTGAGTACCACATAAGCAGAAAAAACTGGAAGAGGTGCTGTGCCTCAAGTGATAGAGCGCTAGCCTAACCGAAGAGCTAAGAGACAGTGCCCAGGCTCAGTGTTCAGGCCCCACAACCGACCAAAAAAAAAGGTATTAAACAAAATTCCTGGAAAAAAAATATATATGTACACACACACACACACACACACACACACACACACACACACGTTGGCATTTGGTGTGTAATCCATGCATCCTGTTTTAGTTAGTTGGCAGATTACTCTAAATCCCTACCTCATGAAAACTAGAGGATTATCTTTTTTTTCTTTTTCTTTTTGTCAGTCATTGGTCTTGAACTCAGGGCCTGGGCACTGTCCTTGTGCTCTTTTGCTCAAGGCTAATGCTCTGCTACTTTGAGCCACAGTGCCACTTCTGGTTTTCTGGTGGTTAATTGGAAATAAGAATCTCACAGAGTTTCCTGCCCAAGCTGGCTTTGAACTGCAATCCTCAGATCTCAGTCTCCTGAGTAGCTAGGATTACAGGTATGAGCCACTAGCACCTGCTGGTGATTATCTACCTGATCTTGAGCTCACTTAACCTAGGAAGAACATAGATTTGTCCAAAAGTTCTTCCATTATTTTAAATCTGACCTTTGAGATTAAGAGAGAGAGAGAGAGAGAGAGAGAGAGAAAGAGAGAGAGAGAGAGAGCTAGCGCTAGAGCTATAGACATATAGGAACAGATATATCGCCCAGAAAGACAGCGAAGATATTCATGCTTTAAGAAAACCTGACCCATTTCCGGCACTGATGGCTCATGCCTGTAATCCTAGCTACTCAGGAAGCTGAGATTTGAGGATCATGGTTCTGAGCCAGCCAGGGCAGGAAAATGTGAGACTCTTATCTCCAATAAACTACTCAAAAAAATACAGAAGTATTGCTGAGGCTCAAGTGGTAAAGGGCACACCTTGAGCAAAAAGAAACTCAGGGATGGCACCCACGCCCAGAGTTCACACACACACAAAAAAAAACCCTGGCCCACCAAAAAAAAAAAAAAAGCCTGAGTTTACACAAGCTGACTTAGGGGTTCAGAATCTACTTTACAATAAGACACAATAGAACTGCACTCTGGAGGAGCATCCCTAGGACATTTAAGACAGGAAAGACTGTTTCCTTATTCAGGAGCAACAGCCTGAAAAAATCAACCTTCCAGGGAGACACATTGCTCTATACATGAAGCCATAAGGTTCAGACCCCATGGGAACCATTACTCTGGCTGCTGCTTGGCAGCCCCATGGAAGCCCTCAGGTGACTCCAAGTGCTGTGCTGGGGCTGAGACTTGGGGTCTTGTCTTACATCAGACCTGCTGAAGCCGAGCCCTTGTTTTGTTTCAAGGCCCTGTGCTGACAGGACCTGCCCCAGGGTGGAGATGGCCACACTGACACACTTAGCCTCCCACTTCATCATTTTTATGGCTCTGAAATGTGTTTTCCATTGGCCTCTGGTAAATCAAGTATACAACTGGACATGAAGATCTGCTTTTAAGATTTAAGAGCTAATTAAGTCCTGTCCCTCAAGGGAGAGGCCTCACTGGCTGGGGAGGAAGTAACTTGCTGGGCCTTCATTTGAATGCTGCCTCCATGATTTAACTTGATCTGTAACAAAGTCCCTGGTCTCTCTGGCCTTAATTTGTCTCAAATTATAAAAGAGGAGCAATGACACAAATCTGCTCTTGGATCCTGTGGGATGTCAGAGGAGCCCCTGGAACCTTCCAGACCTGTAGCATCTGGGGTGGTGATTGGCATAATGATGATGAATGTGAAACACTCTGCTCTCATTTCTAGACCAAGATTTACAATAAAATCATGCATCTGTCTACCTCTAACCTGTCCATGGGAGAAATGACTGCTGGGCAGATCTGCAACCTGGTGGCCATTGATACCAACCAACTCATGTGGTTTTTCTTCTTGTGCCCAAACCTCTGGGCTATGCCAGTACAGGTATTGGATGTGTGCTTAGGACACTGGAAGCAGGGAGTGGGCACAGCACAACAAAACCCGAGAATCTGCTCGTCCGTGTCCAGTGACTAGCTCATTGTCTTCCACTCTGTGTTTGTGTGGGATTTTTTTTTCCTCCCTGGGGTCTCCATGGGGTGTGTCATGCACTGAAAACAGTCCAGCAATTTCTCTCAACCATCCAAGAAAGCATTGTCATTATACCTTTGAAAATGGAGCCAACCTTCAATAGACTATAGAATATGTACATGTAGAACAAATTTATACACATTAAAATTTACATTGTAGCAAAGTGCTTAATTATATTGAGAAATGTTTATAATGGCTTATTTTAGAAGCACTCCTGTTTGAACTCAAACCTCCTTCTCCTACTCTACTAGTCGAGCCACACCTCTAGCCCTTTTAACCTGGTTATTTTTTGAAATAGGATCAAGCAGGCCAGTGGAGACCATGGTCCCCCTATTTGTTTCCCACCAGAGCTGAGATGACAGGCACAAACCACCACACTTACCTTTTCCCATTGAGATGGAAATTCTCCAACTTTTTGCCCAGACCAGCCTCAAGCCACAATCCTCCTAATCTCAGCCTCCCAAGTAGCTAGGATTATAGGCATGAGCCACCTCACTGAGCTCCAACAATGTTAATATTTTTCAACAAGAAGAAAGAAAGTTGCATAAATAGTATATGCCATGTACTTCCTACTAAGTTGAAATATATGTATGTACAATTTGCACTGATTCTCACAGGAAAGAGAATTGGGAGACCTCAGGATAGGATTACAAGTGATTTCTATGTTTTTCTAAATCCTCTAATAAGTGTGTATTGGTTTAGGAAATTGAAAATGTCTTCTTAACCAAGCTGCCTGAATTTTTCCTCTCTGGCCAAACTCTGTGCTAGGATGGCACACTTGGTGTGACTCTCTAGCCTTGAACTTTTCACTGGAACACTGAAACTGGTTTCTACATGAGAGCTTGTTTAGCCCCCAGCTTCTCCTCCTCCATCTTCTTCTGGACTCCAGCCCGAGTTCTTTCTTTGAAAACGTGACATTTTTAAAGCCGAATAAGCTTTGGATTTGGCTCAGGCGGAAGCACATTGTCCCTGGATGGTAGTGGGAAATGCACCTAACCGCTGGCCTTGTCCTGCATCTCTGGAGTTTCTCCCCCTTTGCACTCTAGTCTCTGACCTGGGAATGAATCTTCACTCTGGTGCTCAAGCCAGAAGTGAAATCCCAGACCACCTCCCAGAAGACTTGCAGGATCTACCAACACTGGTAAATGACTGAAATTAACTTAGGAGCCCCAATCCTATGTGAGCCCAAAGATTGCACAGCTATAGGGCCAAAGATGCCAGCCTTTGCTTTGCATACCCAGACTTGCTGAGGATTCCCTCCCAAGCAGGCTATTCCAAACCCTCTAGATAAGAGGAATGGACCAAGGATTCCAGGAGCCTGGGGATAAAAGGCCAGAGAAGCATCAGGAGGATCCTGGGAGCAGCCACAGCTACACCCCCCAGTCCTACCAGCCTCTGCCAGTCCCTAGGAGATGGTATGAGTACAGAGGCTGACCTTGAAAGCTGTCTAAGGCAGGGAGTATGAGTGGCTGAGGCACTCTCAGTGTCTGGTACAACCCTAGTAGCTGACTCAGTTCCCCATTGCTTTCATATGAGCATAGCTTGTGCAGGAATTAGGAATGAAGGACTGGATGCCAAAAGGAATTTCTTGGAGAGTAGTGGGGTGGGGCTGCAGGGATCGGCTCATCTCCTGATGTGGTCCTCTGCCTGTGTGTGCCAGCTTTAATGTGAGTTTAACACAGGGAGACAGATGGTGACAGGATCATTTCTCAGTCTCTGAGATACCTGCTAATGCAGGAGGCCTCTGTGATTAACGCCTACCTCATCCCTGAGATGGTGCAGGGAGCTTCATGCAAGGCTGATGCTGAGCTCCGGTACTGCAGGGCCCCCTCAGGTGGTTTCATTTTCTTTCTTTTTTTTTTTTTAATTTCAACTAAGGAAAGCAAAACATCTGTTTTTGTTTGCTTCTTTGAAGAGTAAGCTCTGTATTTAAAGTACTTCCCTTTGACAGTGACCTGAGAAACTGTTGTCTCAATGCTTTGGGGACTAGCAAAACTGGATTTTATACTTAACATAAATATTCATAAGCAGGCAGAAATTTACATAAAGTTCCAATAGAAACAAAATGAATTCTCTTTTCAGAGAATACCTGCCAGCTCCACTAAAAAAAAAAAAAAAGACACCAAGGGCTTTAAGAGTAAGAAGCAAATTCATGGATCCATGACTGGCTCTTTCTGGCATGGATGACATAATTTTGCCCCTTTGTTTGTGGATGATTGTTTTCCATGGAAAGTGAAAGGCCAGCAAACCAAAGTGCTGTCACATTTATTGTGTAGACTCAGCCTTGAGTCTTCCATTGGGAAAGTAGACTTGGAGAGCAAGTAAATATTAACACGTCAGCCAGCCTTGCAGACAGTTACCAGCCCAGACCCTCTGTTGGTTTATGAGCCCAGCATGTTGCTCTGTCCTTCTGACATTGCTTTGTCACACCTGCTTACCTGTTTGGTAACGTTAGCATATTCTATTCTAAAGGCTTGGGGTAGAGGGTTGACAGTGCTCCTGGTAGAGCAGCCTCCTGATGAAACATCTCATCCTGTGACCTTCCCCAGATCATTGTGGGCGTCATTCTTCTCTACTACATCCTCGGGGTCAGTGCCTTAATTGGAGCAGCTGTCATCATTCTACTGGCTCCAGTCCAGTACTTTGTGGCCACCAAGCTTTCCCAGGCCCAGAGAAGCACACTGGTGAGTGTCCTAAGATATCTGTGTACCCCCTTTCCCTCTTGTCTGCCTGGATCGCTGTCCCTCCATCAGTGGTCTCCTCCCACACTTGACTGTCACTGACCTGTAGTAGGATACTGCTCAGGTCTCCGCTTCTTTATATGTGAAGTGGGATTAACAGAGAAGCCAGGGATCATGCCTCTGGGGGACAGGAGCTGTTGGTGAGGACATTGAATGGCTGTCATCCTTGGGCTAAGAGATGGGCAAAGGCATCTCCCTTCTGGTTTGATGACTTCACAGGAATATTCCAATGAGAGGCTAAAGCAGACCAATGAAATGCTCCGCGGCATCAAGTTGCTCAAGCTGTACGCCTGGGAGAATATTTTCTGTACTCGGGTGGAAACAACTCGCAAGAAGGAGATGACAAGTCTCCGGGCCTTTGCTGTCTACACTTCCATCTCTAGTAAGTCCATTGAACTGTCCAGCCCAGGTGCTGCTGCATGCACGCAGGGCGAGAGTGTTAGGCATGGGTGAGGGTGGGGACAGTGAATTGGAGAGTCTTTAGGATCCGTCATCCAACCCAGGGGGCCCTCAAACTGGTTGTAGTAACTGAGCCTCCAGAAACCATAGGCCCTCAGTGTAGAGTGGGGAGATCAAGTGAAGTCTTGTTCCTCATGAAGCTGGTACATTATTGACAGGCAGTAAGCCAATGAACAACAATGGTTTCCAGTGCTTCTGGGTAGGAGAACTTGTCAGTAAGTCAGCCAGAGCTGCAGCCTCCATTGAGGTCCTGCAAGAGGAAAGATCACAGACCTAAGCCACAGGTGTAGACTGGATTTATAGTAACCAAGTAATTTAGAACCCCAAGCCAAAGGGAAAGGCAAAGCAATCCCCTGCAGTCCTTGAAGGTAAACAGAGGAAAGCTACTTCAAAGAGACTAGGTAGCTTTCTAGCAACTGTTCCTGTGGAACAATGATCTAGTAATAAATAAATTAAAACCAACAAGAGAATAAAAAGTGTGCCACCAGAGTATGAATCAGTAAACTAAAAAAAAAACAATAGAATTAAAAAGATTTTTTAAAATAGTTTCTTGATACTTGGGGAGGGTAGATAGACTAATCCAAAATAAATGTGTTTAACATAATGCAACTATAATAAAGTATAAAACCAATAAGGCATTATAGGAGATTATCAGAGGAAATGAATGAAAAAATCCAGACGTTAATATTTTAGTTAATGAAATTAATTAATTCACGGAACAATGGTTCTCTGGACAGGGAGAGGGCATATGGAGGCCAGGTGATGGTGGGGTCCTAGCCCAAGCTTGTCTGACATGTGACTCATGGCTTCATGGGCCCACCCCTTAGTGATTACTCTCCTAGTGCCTAATTGGGATGTGGATGTTTAGTAACTGGCAGACATCACTTTAGTTCCCTCATTTGTCTAGTTTAAGAGTATTATGGTAAGAAGGGCCAAGTGGAAGGCCCCCAAAAGGAAAGAAAAAAAGAAGCAAAAAGCCAACTCAATGTGCAGGTAAAAGAAGAATTTGTGAAGTAGAAGACAGTTCTGTGAAAATTATATAGAACATAGCAAGAAGAGTCCATGAGAAATTCTCCAAGTTGTGCAGCAGTATTGCAGGTGGGAAATGGAGGCCCTGGGGTTTGCAGGATAGCTCCCACCACACTCTGCAGTCTCTGTGCTATATTCCAAAGCACTGGAAAGCTATAAGGGGCAAAGATTTGTGTGAGTCTACTTTCTCTTAGGAGCTGAGAAATAGCCTAGGATGGCTTTGAGATGAGTAGGAAATGGCGGGGGGGGGGGGGGGGGGGGGAGGGGAAGAATTGAGAGAAATGGTTGATACTACTTCCTCCAGGTGAAATTGTTTCTTTTTGGTGAACTGCTGGAGGGAGGAGCAGGAAGCAGTAATAAAGTTCTAGAAATGTTTCCCAGACTCATGGAGAATGAGTTGGTCATACAGGTCATCTTCTGTGTTCCTCATATATACTAGAGAGAGGATCTAATGGGGCCAGATGGACACCATCCAACACAAGTGCTCCCACAGGACCCAGCTGGTACTGAGCATCCCAAGTATCTGGCCTCCCTGGGACCATCTACAACTTAGTGCCTGTGCCTCAGACAGGACCCCTGGCCTAGTAAGCACTTATGGTCCATCCTTTATAAATGCCACAGACTATGGTATCTTTTTTTTCCCCCTGGTCCTAATGCTTGAACTCAAGGCCTAGGTGCTGTCCCTGAGCCTCTTTGTGCTCAAGGCTAGTGCTCTACCACTTGAGCCATAGCACTACTTCTGGCTTTTTCTGAGAAGTTTATTGGAAATAGTCTCACTGACTTTTCTGACCAGGCTGGCTGATATTGAACCGTGATCCTTAGATCTCAGCCTTGTGAGTAGCTAGGATTATAGGCGTGAGCCACCAGTGCCCAGCTAGACTATGGTATCTTTACACAGAAAAATCTAGGATCTGATTTTCTGAGAATGAAGCTGAGGGCATGACAAACGGTCATTGTTTCCTGGATTCCTCACCAGAAGAGCTGAATTTCTGGTCTCTCCTTTTATCCTCATGCCTGACTGTGGCACTCAGAAGCCTAGCACTATTCTTTAACACAAAGAAAATAGGGGTAGAACACAGAAGAATCAAAAAAGTCAGCCCAGGTCCCTAGCCCCAGTCCCATATCCACCTTCCCTCTGTCAGCAATGCCTTTCTGCTCCAGGGGCTGGTCGTATTACCAATAGACCCATCCTTGATTACAGACCGCTGAGTTATACCTGTTCCCAGGAGCAGTGAAGGAGGAAAGGCTCTCTCTACAGCTAGGGGACTTCCTCTCCCAGCACACACAACAGAGTGGGCTGGGGCTGGCTGACTATTGCTGACATGGAAAGAGAGAGAAGAGAAGCAGAAAGGGAAGTGGAGGCACTGTGCCCCCAAGATTCCAGACACAGTAAGCATCAAAGTAGGGGTAGTTTTACAGCATGCAGTTGGTGGCATGTGGCAGTTACTTTGCTCCTAGTAGATATATACTCATTTCTTGGATTCCAAGTTGCAATCTGGGATATGTTTTCTTATGAAAACAATATCATAAGATGCTTAAGTTCCCAGGCTATCCCACTGATGCCTGTCTAGTAGGTGTGCTTTGTCCATGGGGCTACAAGGACCTGAGAAAGGTGACTCTCAAGGGTCAAGATGACCCTGGAAAGAGCAAGAGGCTCTGAAGTAAAGCAGGAGCTTTCCCAGGGCCCCATACTTGTACGGTGACTGAGAATGATAAGCAACAGCCCAGGCTTGTACCAGGAAAGGAAAGGAAAGAGTCTTCAAGAGGTGTTATTATTATAATTTCAATCCGTGTATACAGTTATAATGATCAAAGCAGAGTAACTAGCATTTCCATCTCTATAAACATTTCATTTTGAAATTTTTGATTGACATGAAATAATTGTACATATTTCTGAGGTAGAGTGTGATGCTTCAGTGCCTGTGTACAATGCATGCTAATCAAATCAGAGTAATTAATGTATTCACCTCCTTATCATCACGTTGTGCTTAGAACCTTTCAGCTCTTCCCTGGTTATTCAGAAAATAGATAGTAGGTTTTTGTCGACTACTTCTCCACTGTGCAGTACAACTCTTGAACTTAAGTGAAATAAGTTAGGTATAGAAAGAAAAATAGCATATGTTCTCTCTCTCAAAAACAGGAAGGAAGGGAAGAAGGAAGAAAGGAAAGGAGAAGGAAGGAAGAAAGGAAGGAAGGAAGAAAGGAAGGAAGGGAAGAAGGAAGGAAGGAAGGAAGGAAAGGAAGGAAGGGAAGAAGGAAAGAAGGAAGGGAGGGAGGGAGGGAGAGAGAGAGAGAAAGAAAGAAAGAAAGAAAGGAGAGAAAGAAAGAAAGAAATGGAAGGAAGGAAGGAAGGAAGGAAGAGAAGGAAGGAAGAAAGAGGGGAGGGAGGGAGGGAGGCAGGCAGGCAGGAAGGAAGGAAGGAAGGGAAGAAGGAAGGAAGGAAGGAAAGAAGGAAAGGAAGAAGGAAGGAAGGGAGAGAGAGGGAGGAAGGAAGGAAGAAAGGAAGGAAGGAAGGAAGGGAGAGAGGGAGGAAGGAAGGAAGGAAAGAAGGAAGGAAGGAAGGAAGGACCAATCTGAATGTAGAATGGTGATTACTAGAGGTTGAGAGGGATGGACAAATGGAAGGAGGGGGATAGTAGCTGGATAACAGATATCAAAACAGCCAGAATTTCCCCAGTGCTCCAGGGAGAGCGCTGATAGCCAAATGTTGTTGGCTCTTCTTGGATGTCTATTCTCCTGAGAAGGGTGGGCTGGGAACCTGCTCCTGGCTGCAGGCACATGCTTTGTGTGAATTTTCCTCTTCTTCCTCCTGAACCTCCTGCCTTCTGTTACCAGGGATCAAAACATAGGTCATTAGGCTGAGGTAATGAGAATCTCTCATTCTTGCCCTGGCACCAGTCATAAGGTCCTGGAGACAGAATCGCCCTGGAGTCACGTTACCCAATGGGGCCCATCTGGGCTTCCAGTCTGGTTGCCTAGTGCCATAGTCAGACTGTGGGACAGACCAAACCATCTCTGACACTGACTGATGGTCTCACCAGCGGTGCTACCTAGAGCTTTAGTTTGTGGAGCCCTGGCAGCACATGAAGCTGAAAAGGAATGGACACAGTTTTCCTGACTCTAAAATCCGTATTTGCTCCTGCAAGAAAGCAATGATATAAGTTACTGGTGGCTGCTGAGTGACCCTATCTGCAGGCTCTTCCTGAGTCCAGCATCTGAGAACAGTAGATAGGGTCCCCATTGTAAAGCAGTTTATGTTCTTCTCAGGAGTCAGAGTTGGCTTGTATAGAACACTGGCAGCAAGTTCAGAACTATGGCCAATTCTGTGCTGGCTGCCTGGCAAGACTGAGAACTCATCATCCTCATTACAACTCGGTGAGGTGTGTTGCTCTACTGTCCCATCATACAGCGGAGAGGACTGAGGTCTAACAAGTGAAATGACTCTTAAGATCTCATCCAGAAAAGGAGCTCAAGTGGCTAGAGCGTTCACAGAAATTCACGTGGAGAAGACTTAGGATGTACCTTATGCTATGGGTAGAAGGAAGAGTGGGAGAAAGTTGGAGGCACGAGTCATCATGCTCTTTCAAAGTCAGCTCAATCTATTTCTTTGCAGAAGCAGCTTTACTCCTGGTGCTACTTTATTTGGGGACAAGTTTTGCACAAGTGATAAAAGAGTCAGTTTCTGCAAATCAACCAATTTCCACCAGTTCCTCTGTCCTTTGCACAGATGCCATCCCTGTTTCTATGCCAGGCTTTACTGAGGCATTGGGTGTTTGGAGAAGATGGACCTCAGTCTGGCCCTTAAGTCCTAGGGGAAACTGGCCAGGCCCATGAACAGTAGCTGTTAAGTGGCTAAAGTCAGTTCCCAATGACCCTCTGCCTTTTGTGTTACTTGCTTGGTCCTGAGTCTTTTCATTTCTTCCATTTATTTATTCAACAGTATTTTTCAAACATCTATGTGCCTGGCCCCATGATGGCATTGGGTGAGAAGATACACTGGTCCCAGCTACTTGTTACTTACAGTCTTTTAGGCAAGTCAGACACACCACAGTACCATGAGTGACAGGAACAGAAGGGTGCTTTGTGTGCATTGCACCCCACCTAGTCTTAGGGATGGTGGTTCCCACTTAGTCACTGTGGTTCCCACAGGATGACCATTAAATAGCCTTAAGAGGAAGGTATGCCTATGTACTAAGGCCTCAGGGTGAGAAAGACAATGTGGGGTTATTTCAAATATCCAAGACTAGCTCAGGTGGGATGTTATACGCTGTGCCCAGACCCCTAGGGTTTCTGCTCAGACAGATGGATCCATGGAAGGAGTTGAAATGAAAGAAAGATGTATCTGCCATATCTTTCAGTGTTGTGTATCACAGTCAATATGAATGGATGTGTTTGAGGTAAAGGTGGTTTGAAAAAACGGCCCAACTAGCACTTCTATACCTCCAAAACCCAGTAGAATGTCTGAACCCAGGGAACTTTCAAAAACTAACTTCTGAGTGAGTTCACTGGTAAATATGGTTTGTTTGTTTAGTTATTTATCTATTTATTTATTTGTGCCAGTATTGTGCCTTGAATTCAGGGCCTGGGCACTATCTCTTAGCCTTTTCACTCAAGGTTGGAACACTCACACTTGAGCTACAGATTTTCTCTTCTGTCTTTTTGGTGATTAATTGCAGCTAAAAATTTCCTGGACTTTCCTACTCAACCTGGCTTCAAATTGCGATCTTCAAATCTCTTCCTGCTGAGTAACTAGGATTATAGATGTGAACCACCAGCAAATGGCTCAAAGAATGCTTTATAAATCTTATTTTTACATCATTATAAAAGGGCTTTCACTTTTAATGGAGGTCTTTCAGGCCTGCCTATGTGCAATTAAACTTTCCGTAGCAGCGTCACACCTACAGCTCACCCTGTAATCTTGTATTTCACCTGGCATTATTTAACTACTGTTTTTTGCTCCCTAACCCTCAAGAGTTGAATACTGTCATGTTCTTCCTTTTTTGTGTATTTTGTTTTTGTTTTTTTTTAAATCAACTCCAGGTGAGTCACCCACTCTGTGCCAAAATTGGAGAGAAATCTATTCTCAGTTGTATTCCCCACCCCTCCTACCACCTTACAATCTCATAGAGCTGTATGTGATCCAGGAAAATGAGTCAAGGCCTTAGTCTTTAGTCACTGACAGCTGAGTATCTGGTTCTCTGCTCCCTGCACCCCAGCTGTCTTCTGTGTTGGGAGAAATACCAGAGACCACTGAAGCCTTGAGCATCACTGTCTTCACAGTGACCATCCACTCTGGGGTGATGGGATGATCTTTAGAGACCTTTGAAACACAAGCAGCCATTAATACCAATTCCCCATCCCCCACCCCAAAGGGTATCTAGAACTCTGCACAGCAGCCATTCTTCCAGGAAGGGGATGCAGGAAGTGAAAATTTCATCCTCCAACATTTTACATTTCATCCTTCAACATCTCTCCACCATAGCCAGAATAGCACAGAAATTAATTAGATCATAAGCATTATCCATGTTGCCGCTATATCAGTTTTGAAATGACCATTTTTAATTTTATTAATTGATAGCTTATCTCCTTCCTCACAGCAGTTCAGGATGCTATAAACAGAAAGACAATGAAATAGGAAAAAATATAAAGTAAAAACATCAGGACCAGGGAAAATGCATAGTAGAATAAATCATCAATTATGCTTTCTGATTGCCAAATCTCCTCAAGAGGCGTTGTGGTGAACGTTTGCTGGAACAGTCCCTTCTGTTGGAAATTTCTGGCTTCTTTTGCTTTCGGTGGTTTGTTGCTGTGGTTGTGGTTTGTTTTGGCTGTGACAGTTCTGCAGCTAGCACCATCTTGCTGATGGCTTTGTGCTTCTCTTGACTGATTATTCAGGATAAATTCCCAGGAGATGGATTAGAGGATCAGAATGCCTGGACTTCTGTGTAGTTCTAGCTACAAAGCAACAGATTGCTTTCTCAGCAATTCACATTCCACTCCCAGTTTATTTTTTTAGCTAGGAGTATAGCTGTAGAATGTAGAGGGCTCTTGGCTTGGGGCAGAGGGTGGAATAGTAGTGCACATGTACCTTCTATGGCTTGAGCCCCTTTTCATTGATAATTATTTTAGAGAGCACCACTCCCTGCCCTGAGCATGTAGCTTGGAAAAACTTTAGAGAGGAAAGGCTACCTTGTGTTGAGAGCTAAGTGGCTGGTGATAGTCAGGGGCCAAGATTTGATGGGCATCTTCCTATTTCCTCTGTTTTTCCCAAACTAGTGATGGATGTGCTGTGTTTTGTGTCTCAGATCTGAGTCCCTAATACTGTAAAACTAATCAATGATGATTATACTGCCCCTTGCCAGCAACTATCAGTGAATGCTATGGTATTGTTGTGGGTAACTGGAGATTATCTATCCTTCTTCAAGAAAGGCAATTAAGGTAAATGTATAAGATCATGTATAAAATTGGTATTAAAAACACTGACCATAAGACTATGATCAGAGAGATTAGCAGTGCCACCATTAAGATTGGGAATTCCCCAAGAACAGAGGCCTTATTTTTCCCATCAGATTAAAAATTGTCCAAATTGGGGCTGGGAAGGTGGCTCAGTGGTAGAGCGCTTGCCTTGCATGCATGAGGCCCTGGGTTCGATTCCTCAGCACCACATAAGCAGAAAAAAAAGCCAGAAGTGGCTCTGTGGCTCAAGTCCTAGAGCGCTAGCCTTGAGCTGAAGAGCTGAGGGACAGGGCCCAGGCCCAGAGTTCAGGCCCACGACCGGACCCCAAAAACAATTGTCCAAATTCAGTAGGTATCCTATCTGCTTGGAAATTCCAGGAGTGTATCCTCTTCTCCTCTTCATATAAGGAACTTGCTGAGAGCATTGTTCCTATCTCCTTCCTCTGACTTAGAGCCCCCTAAGGTCATGGCCTGACCTTCTACTCAGTTAGGTTTCCCCGAAGCTGGGACCACATCTCCAAGTGTAGTTTGAAGGTTCTAGCTGGTGTGGGGTTCTTGTAACAAGGGAACAGCCAATCATTTTCTTGGAATGGAGTTGACCATAGAGCTTTGAAGATGTCACCATTCATTAGCCAAGGATCATGTGCACAGGCTGAGTCCTTGGCCTCTGGCTATTGGCTCCTGGTGTTACAAGACAGTTAATTGCAGAAACAGGCTAGATGGAAACAGAGGATAGAAGAGAGTAAGGTAAAATGGGAAGGTGGCAGCCATGAACAGTCATCTCTTACTCCAGGCTGCTCTCTGAAACTACAGGCCTAGATCAGGGCTCTCATGGGCATCTTACACCTTGGGCCAAGCAAGGAGAGGTGACTTGGGGGGCTGGTCACACTAGTAATTTATGAAGTACAATATTCAGACAGTACTCAGGGCTCATAGAGGCTGTCACCTACATTATCTCCTCTGACCTTGAGGAAGAGCCTGGGTCTAAGAACAAGTCACTAAAAGTTTACAAAACTCAGTGAGGAAACTGAGGAACAGGGAAGGGAAATGATGTGTCCAAGGACATATAACTTATAAGATCCTGGCCTTCTATGACTTTAAGTCCAGCTCTGTTTGCTCTCTGGAGTTCTTATGAAAGATCTGAGGCACTTCGGCTAACAGCATAAGGAGGGGCCATTGTTGCAGCAAACCAGCTGTGCCATCCAAACAGACACTAGGAGCTCTAAGGAAGACATCACTTTACGGTACCCTGAGTCGCTCCTACTTAAGTGTGAGTGAGTTTGAAACACTGCAAGAAGCAGGAGACTGAGAAGCTCATAGACAACATACTTGGGTACATACAGGGGCAAAGGCAGAGGAAGGAGCAGCAGCTTGGTGCCTCCAGAAACACATGCTGCTGACCTCACAGTTGGCCCTGGCAACCAACACTCCAGTCCTTTTCTAACCACTTTCCCACAAGGCTTCATTACTCCATCCAGAGGGAGCAGAATAAGAGCAGTTATGCCTTTATTTAAAGGCTTTAGTCTCTGAGACAGGTCAGCTATGTGGGTGGAACAGGAGCCCTGAGGGAAAATAGGGCTAGAGGAGCCCGACAGCTAAAGTACTACATCCACCTCTACTTCCTAAATTAGAGGAAGGATTCCCCTGGTCCACACTACTGGGGGCCATCTTAGGCATTTTCCTGTTCGAAGTTCACTCCTCCCCCACACTAACTCTTCCTTGTGCTTCCTCTACAGTTTTCATGAACACAGCCATCCCCATTGCTGCAGTCCTCATTGTAAGTGAACCTTTCTCTACTTTCTTTGAGAAAAGGGAGACATATATAGGAGAACTATTTAGGTTCAGCTCTTCTGTACAGGGACCTCAGAAGATGGGCCCAGTAGGGCATGAGAGGAACAAGGGAGTTCATCCCTCCCCATCCATGTGTACAGCCTCTCTCCCTCAGGGCTTGGGTGACCTCAGGTTTAGTATCTAGAAAATCAACATTGTCTCTTGAAAAGAGCTATTGATTTTTTTTCATGCTAACAATGAAACATGTGTATTATGAAACGAATGGGAAATTCAGAAAAAGAAGGCACTGTAATCTCACTTCGTAACATCTTCAGGGTGTTTCTTTCCCATCTTTATTTTTAAGGCCTAGGATATGTCATTTCTACAAAAATAGGCTTGTGTTGCACATGCAGTTGTGTAACCTGCTTTTTTTTTAATTTAAGAATAAGCCACACATAGCTCCCCATGTCATAAAATATCACGATGCATTTTTGTTGGGTTTGTTTTTTAACTGATTTTGACCAAAGCTGGGTGGTGAGCTCAGCTATGGGGGAAGGTAAGAAGACCCAGACCCAGCCTCCTGTCACTCACTGCCTGCTATGAGGGATACAGTTCTTTAAAAAGATATACTTATTTCCCCTGGGGCCTATGTCTCTGAGCTGTGTGAAGTTCACAGCCTGTCAAACATGCTTGGGAATTCGCTTTCAATGTGATTTATGGAGCTGAATCCTGGTCTAGCATTTGGGGAACTGTGGGTAACAGACTGCAGAGCCAGACAGGTAGCCTTAGATAGGCACAGGGAGGAAGTGGAATGACTGTTGAATGTTTTCCAACTGAGGACTGGGAAAATGAGCATTCAAGAATGCAGTCTAAGAAGGGTACCTAACCCCAGGCCTGGCAGAACCTGGAGGGAACCAGCCCTGCCCCAGCAGAAGTCCTGAGCTTCCAGGAGACATTTCAAGGAGATGACAGAGAATAAATAGATATCTCTAATCAGAAAGCCCCATGATGTGACCTTCCCTACCAGCACTCAGACTCTATTCCCAGGGCTGTTTCCAGTGTGGGAAGGAAATAGCCCCTGAGACACCTTAATCTCACTTGTGCCTCTATCCACAGACCTTCGTGGGCCATGTCAGCTTCTTCAAAGAGTCTGACTTCTCACCCTCCGTGGCCTTTGCTTCCCTCTCCCTCTTTCATATCCTGGTCACACCGCTCTTCCTGCTGTCCAGTGTGGTCCGGTCCACAGTCAAAGCTCTAGTGAGGTGAGAGGAGGGTCTGGACAAGGGCACTGGACAGGCAGCTCATGGGTCAGCCCCAGGACTGGCTCTAGCAATCACTGGGACTACAGCTGTTTGTACACACCTCCCCATTGCTCTGAGTCCCCCTGAAGCTGGTCATGTCTGGGACACAGACCATTCAAAGTCTCCAGCACAAAATCTCTAGGGAAGAACACTATCACCTCCAAGACAAAATAAATATATTAAGATAAAATAATGAGCTGAAATTCGTATCTTCATAAATTCCACCCAGGGACCCTAGTTTTACTTTTCAGAGCTCACTCAGAATAAGCATCTTCTAGCTGCCTACTGAATGTCTGTTCTCCCCAGGTTAAGCAACTGCTTTTCTTTCCATGGCCCCAGAGCCTTCCCAGCCCTGCTAGTGCAGCAGCTTTCTCTCCAACCCCTGAGTTACTCTCTGTTGGTCCACAGCTCTGGGTTCTAGAGCCTAGAGGTAATGTTGACAGTCTCCCAGAGGTGTCACCCTTTTGAGAATGGAAATCTGATTGCAGAGGCAGAGCCTCTTCTGGGAAGCCTTTATTACCTGGAGTAGGAAGATTTCCAAGGACCTTGGAAATCTTGAAAGCAAGAATTTGTCCTACGTTGAAAGAGCTGGTCATGTCCTTACCTAGACATAGCAAATGTCTTGAGCCTTCAGTAAATATCCCATTTTCTTCTGGCAGGTCCTGGACAGCTGACAAGAAGGAATAGTTACTAGAATAAAGTTGTGGATGGGAGTCTGAGCCCAGCTCTAGCTTTCAAACACAGAATTCTAGGATTCAAAGACAGAAGCAGAGCTAGTGGCCTGGCTTGAGTGCAGGAGCCTCTGCTTAACAGGCAGGAAGCCCTGAGTTTAAACTCCAGGACCACCACCACCAAAAAAAACCCCAAAACAACAACAACAAAACAAAGCAGGCCTAATGTAATGAAATTATATCCAAGGAGTATTTGACCAGGCAGTGACTTTCTGAAAAGAGACTGGCTCATATATCCTTGACTATACTGCCTCAGTTTATCAGCCATAACATTGAGATTTCTGATGTGCATCCTTCCCCCACCACCCTCATTCCAGCCCTATACTTTTTTTTTTGGGGGGGGGGTCTGGTCATGGGGCCTGAACTCTGGGCCTGGGTGCTGTCCCTCAGCTCTTTAGGTCAAGGCTAGCACTCTACCACTTGAGCCACAGTGCCACTTCTAGCTTTTTTGTTTTTGCTTATGTGGTACTGAGGAATCAAACCCAGGGCCTCATGCATGCAAGGCAAGTGCTCTACCACTGGGCCACCTTCCCAGAAGCCCTATAATTTTTGTAGACTTCCCAGGTGCAACGATGCTGCACCTGTTAGAAATCTATGTCAGTAATCTGGAAGTAGCACATTCTCAAAACCTACTCTTTCTAGAAATACAACATCAGAGTAGCTGAGGCCTGAGGGAGCTCAAACTCTTGTCTAAAGATGGAAAGGAAGACATACCTGAAATAAAGGCTGGCTCCACCCTTTCCCCTTGCTCACTCTTATAATATAGGAGGAGACAGAAAGGCAAGGAGGCAGAGCCTAGGGGTCTGCCCCTCAGAGGACAGGTGCCCAGAGCGGAAGAGTCGTAGGAGCTCCTTTTCAGCCCAGTCTATTAATTTAGGATGTATGTCTGGCTTTAGGCCTGTTGGACACTTAGCAGAAAGAAAGAGGGGATAGAAACAATTCTTGAGCTTCCTGAGACAGCTTCCACAGCCAAGGATGGGTGAGAGTGAACCTAAATGCGAAGCTCCAGGTGCTGCCTCCTAACAACTTTTCTGGGGGAGAGGTGAAAATAGCCACCTCTACATGGGATGAGAGAAAAAACATCTGACCCCACAGCTTATTATGGGGATTTGGTTCTATAATGCTTCTAAAGCAATTAACACAGCATCTAACATGGAGTACATATTCGCAAAATACTAGTTTTGTTAATAATCAAGTTTTAATCCTAATTAATCTTGACACCAACCAACCTTAACCCTGATACTAACTAATAGACACCAACCCTAATCATCATTTAGCTCAATAATCCAGACGAACTACTTTTACGACTAAACTAACCCAAAAACTAACCAAAGACATCCCTAGTCTAGACTCTAGCCTACTCCAGCTAAGAAAAGCACTGGTAATTTGTTTTCCACTCTCAAGAGGGTGACAAGTTGTTTGTTCCCCTCCACTGTGGGCTTTGTGGGAGCTACCTGTAGACCAGGCATTTTCTCAGAGCTGCACGCTCAAACCACGTCTTCCTCTTCTCCCCCCCCCCGCCTCTGGCAGGGGTGAGGGGAATCGCTGTGTTTCCATCGCAGTGTGCAAAAGCTAAGTGAATTCCTGTCCAGTGCAGAGATTCGTGAGGAGCAGTGCGCTCCCCGTGAGCCAGCACCCCAAGGTCAAGCCAGCAAGTACCAGGCTGTGGTGAGTTCCTAGCCTGCCCTAGCTACTCCTGGCATGTTTCTCTAAGGCCTAAAGCAACATGCCCTGCTGCTTTATGCCTCCACCCCCACTCAGTCCAAAAAAGGAGTTCCAATGGACTCTTACCTCCTTACCCTCCGTAGCCCCTCAAGGTTGTAAACCGCAAGCGTCCAACCCGGGAGGATAATCGGGACCTCATGGGTCCACTACAGAGGCTGGCCCCCAGTGCAGATGGGGATGCTGACAATTGCTGTGTCCAGGTGAGTCCCTGACCTTATACCTGCCACCAGCACCAATTCCCAGAGAAGTTTAGCACAGGAGAGGCCAGAGTCCTGAGTCTTCTGCACAGAGGTCACCTTGCCTGTCTCTAAGAACACTGTTTTCATCTCCACCCAGCAGGGGGACCCCTGCCTTCCTCTTGGGCAGTGCCTTGGGTAGGAGCCAGTCCCCAGTGTCCCAAGGGGTGGAATCAAAGTAAGGGGGAGGCTTTCATAAAGGATGGAAAGCTCAAGACCATTCACGGTGAGAACCCCCCTCCTCTCTGTCCTCCTGTGTGACATGGGGTGTGGCCCATGAAGATCATCGGAGGCTTCTTCACCTGGACCCCTGATGGAATCCCCACACTGTCCAACATCACCATCCGTATCCCTCGAGGTATGACCCCTTGTCCCAGCATATACCCCTCCCCAGAGAGAGAAAAAGCAAAGTCGGTATTTCCTAAGTGCCTGCTCCTACTCACTTGTGGTGGGGCCCTGTGAGATCTAAACATTTAGAGAAGCATAAGCTGTATCTTCAAGGCCTCTACCTGTGTAGCAGCAAGGATAGGGTGGGACAGCAGAACCTTGAGGCCACCACCGACTATTACAATGATCAATTCAGAAAAAGATCAACTTGAATAGCCAACGATGTCATGTGGATGAGGTGGGGATCACACTGGGGATCATGTAAGAAAGAAGCAAGGAAGAGGGCATCAGAGTGAAGGAAGAGAAACAAGAGGATGCTGTCAGTTTCGGGAAGGAAAGACTCAAAGGCAGGAGAGGACTTCTCAGTGCTTCCAAGTAGGAGAAAAGAAAATGTCCTCAGAGTTGGATATATTTTGTCTGACTGTTCTTCTGGGTTATGGTTGGTTAGTCAGATTCTCCCCAGCTCCTTTCCCATCTCCTACCCTCTCTCCTTGCAGGTCAGCTGACCATGATTGTGGGGCAGGTAGGCTGTGGCAAGTCCTCACTCCTCCTTGCCACACTGGGAGAGATGCAGAAGATCTCAGGGGCTGTCTTCTGGAACAGGTAGCAAGTCTATTCTCCAGTCCCAATTAGTAGGGTGCCCTCTCAACAACTGTTCTGTCTGTGGAGGATGCATTGTGCATTTACTGACTTCCCACTGTGCGTTTAGTCAGTACTCGGTAAATGCTAGATATTCTTATCATCATCATTAGTATTTATATCACATATTTCTCACTAGGTGATATAATACAGTTTTTTGCCAAGTCTTTTGCATGTATCATTTCATTTAATCATTGTGATAATGAAAAAGATAAGTACTGTTACTAGGCCATGTTGTATGAATGAGGGTTAAATTAATTGCTCCAATTCACATAGCTACTAAGTGACAGACCTGGAATCCAAACTCAGTTCTGTTTGACCCTAGGTCCCATGTTCACTCAGCTAGCTACACTTCCAGTGTGGGAACTTGTAATGCACCATTGGTTTCTGGCTTGGTTATGAGCAAAGTTGACACAGACCATCCAGTGGGTATGTGAAAACCAAGAGCTAACACAGACCAATAGTGGAGAGAGGTAAAGATCACTACCTTAATTAAAGAGAGAAAACCTCAGGCTGAGTCCATCATGAATCTATTATTTATAATCACCTTCTTCTACATAGCACTGAAGTTGGTTGATAAAAAGATGCATATAATGTGGCTGTGGTTGTGTGTGTGAGTGTGTGTGTGTGTGTGTGTGTGTGCGCGTGTGTACGTGTGCGTGCACGCGCGCGCATATGCCAGTGCTGGAGCCTCAAGTTGGGGCCTCTCACTGGCTTTTTCAGTCAAGGCTGGCACTTTACCACTTGAGCCACACCTCCACTTCCAGCTTTTTGCTGGTTAATTGAAGACATAAAAGTCTCTTGGACTTTTCTGTTTCAGGCTGGCTTCAAACTTTGGTCCATAGATCTCTACTCCTAAAGAGCAAGGATTACAGACATGAGCTACTAGTATCTGTATCTTTTTTAAAGAGCCTTGAAATGAAGAGGGTATAAAGGTGTTCAGCAGTCCTCACAAAGCCTGACTTTTCCAAGGGTAAGACAGCTCAAGCATCCTGCTGGGGTTTTTACTCTCACCCAGGAATAGGATTGCTGCCAGTTCCTCAAAGGGACAGGTTTTCTCTGCTAGTCATTTTTAGGGTAAAATTATCTAGATGTCAATTATTCATCAGCTTAAGTACAGAAATGAGCTAAGGTGTATGGGGGATGGGAAGGGGAAACAACAGGGAGGCAACAATGCTTGATAAGAAATGTACTCGTTATTTTGCCCATGTAATTGTAACCCTCTGTATGGTATTCTCACAATTTAAAAAAATGTAAAAAAAAAAAAAAGAAAAGAAAAGAAAAGAAAAAGAAATGAGCTAAGGCAAAAATCTTGGGCCCAATGTCTGAATACCAACATGTCCCTGATCCTTGTCTCCTTCCTCCTTCTTCTTTCACGTATCCTCACAGAAGCATAGCACTTCTGGCCAGAAGAGATGGCAAGTGGCTTTCCATGGACTCAACCTTGCTAGTTCAGCCACACATGTCCCCCAAGATATGCCCATCCTCAAGGTCTTACTGCTTCCATTCTCTGTGTAGTAGGCCTTCCGCCCCCCCACCCCCAGGAGATGCAAGGGACTTCTTCAGGAAGCTAACACAGGCCACTTCTCATGTGCCAGTCTCTTTGCCAGGTACTGCATTGCCACAGTCTTTGCCACACCCTATGAGACAGGAACAATTGTTATTCACAGAGGAGGAAAGTAAGCTGAAGAAAATGGTACCTCACTCAAGTGGCAGAAGTGGGATTTATAGCTGGACTCCAGCACTTGAGCTTCCACTATGAACTGAGAGAAGGGTACATGAGCATTGTGAAGGAATAACTATTCTCCCAACCATTAGTCCAAAGGCCAGCAAGCTCTGTGCTGTGATACATGTACTTGTTTCTTCAGCCGAGCTTTCAAGGCTGTGTCATCAACACTTATGCTCCTCATCAAGGCAACTCAGTTCCCATCCAGCTCCTATCTCTGTTCAAGACTGGGTTTGGAGACTGTAGTGCCCAGATTTATTGCCCTAAAATGCTCCTTGCTCTAAACAGGCCAACTCTTGCCCAGGCCCAGTGGGGACATCCTTTTAGCCAACCTAAGAAGTTGTGAGTACTTGTTATAGACTTAGTTTGTGCTCCTATTTTCCCACAATGATGTATTCACTCACTCATCATGGACTGAGCACTTGCTGTGTGACAGGCCCTGTACATAAATAACAGGAATGCAAGGATGGTTAAGGTGTAGCCTTTGGTTTGAATGGAGAGGAAAAAAGATCAGTGTGATGCTAGAGTTCAAAGGAATAACAATGATTTCTGTAGTTGACTAGAAAAGACCCACCGTAGATGTGATATGCAAGCCTTGGAGACAAGTGTGGGCTCATCCAATGGAAAAGGCAGGGATGGTTAGCTATTCAGGAAGCTGATATCTAAGGATCACAGTTCAAAGGCATCCCAGGCAGACAAATCCATGAAACTCTTATCACCAAATAGCCACCAAAAAGCTGAAAGTGGAAGTGTAGTTCCAATGGTAGAATGTCATCCTTGAGAAGAAAAGGCCAAGCAAAAGCACAAGGCCCTGAGTTCAAGCCCCAGTACTGGCACAAAAGTAAAAAGGAAAGAAGTGGGGAGGGAAGGAGTGACAGGAGGAAGGAAGGGAAAGAAAAGAAAAGGCAGAAGTGGAAGAGGCAAGTAATCCAGGTAAGCAAATGGACAAAGATTTGCTGCTATTTAAGAGGATGGTTCTATGTGCCTGGAGTTCTGGGGTGTGGGTAGAGTGCTAAAGACCAGACTGCAAATGTAAATTTGATTTTTATTAGAAATGGAAATTGAGATTTAGCCCAAAGGCTGGAGAAAATGAGAGAGGAATAGGGCAGGGAAGGAGAGGGAGAGAGAGAATGAATATGAATAAGAGGCTGGAGGAAAAGAGTCAGCTATGAGCTTATTGCCCTGGCTGAGAAAAGGAATCTAAGCAAACATGATTCATTTGCCTTCTGTTGTTGGTCCCATGAAGTCCTGGGTAGACTCACATCCTTATATGAACCCGCTGTCCTGTGAGTGGGGGATAGGTTGTATGTCCTTCCATTACTAGGAGAAGCTCCATGCCTTGGGTATTGGGCCTTTGGTCAGCAGAGAGATGGTATACTTGCAAAGTGAGCCAAGAACAAAATAACTTTTGATCTGGTAGCCCCTCCTGACATTCTGTGAACCTGAAGCCAGAGGTGAGGACAATGCCAAACCATGCCCAGTGGCATGGTTTGGTTTTTGTCCCTACCAGGGCCAAGCCCTCGGCAACCAGACAGTCAGAAAGAGTTCCAAAAGTCACAAAGCAGGAAGTTGGGAGATTAGGAAGCACAGCCAAGAATGCTCTGGGGAGACAGGGCTTAGTTTATTGGTACAACTGTTCATTTATTCCTCCAGGGACCAAATGAACTAAGTATGGCTGAGCAGAGAGGACAAATGCTCTGGAGCCAAGTTCCCTGGGCTCCCATTTGTTCTCCATGCTTTGGAAAATTCCATAAGCTTTATGTGCCAGTTTCTCCTTTTAACTTGTAGGGCTAACTTGTAGGGCTGATATGAGGATTAACCTAACATGAAGAAAGTGCCCTGTAAATATTATTATAAACATTATTATTTAGCAGTGTACATCTTTGCCAAGAACAAAATTCCCTGCTGTTATTTAATCATATTTCAGCCTATATCTCAAGAGAGACAATGGAAAGCTCCCCAGTGACAGCTAGGATTACAGGTGTCAGCCACCAGCACTCAGCTCCATCAATACTTGAATGAGCAAATTCTATTAGTGTATGTGTCTTACTGCATTGCAATTATTTGCTAATCTATCCTTCCCCCAGGCCACTAGATTCCTTGAAGCTCTGTTACACCCCAGGGGTCTAGTACACAATATATATTTTTGTGAACTGCTCTGTGTAGGCTACATAGGGAAATACCTGGTCTCTGGCATAGGGAGTCCTAGGTAGACAGGGGCAGATGGAACCCCATTCGCTGAGATCTTGCACAGCACCCTGGAGAACTACTACAGTATCCCTGAACAGACTCTGCATGTCAGCATCCTGACTCTGGGTCTCAGCCTTTTGGCTCCCAAGCATTCAATTTAACAAGTCATAACCCTGGCTGGCTGGCTGCTTCAATAAACTGCCAACATGGGAATTTACAAACTCCTTTTGTAATCCTTAAAAAGAAAACATGTTAGTGAAAGGTCAATTTTAGCAGATATATGCAGATGGAGTTTCTTCCAGGAAATAAAGAATAGGGCCATGAATATTGAAAGCAGGATGATTTTAAGTGCCCCCATTGGGGACCAGCAAGAAGCAGGTCCTTAGAAAAGCTTTAGAAGCCTAACCTGATGGCCCACACCTGTAATCATAGCTACTCAACCTAAGCAAGAAAGTTGGTTGAGACTCATCACCAATTTGCCACCAAAAAATCAGAAGTGGCGCTGTGGCTCAAAGTGGTAGAGCACTAGCCTTGAGCTGAAGAGCTCAGGGACAGGGCACAGGCCCAAGAGTTCAAGCCCCATGATAGACCAAAAAAGAAAAGGTGGGAGGGGGGAGAAAGAAAGAAAAGCTTTAGAAGGGAGGGTCCCCACTCCCACAAGGAACTGAAAATCTTCGGATTTCCTAAGGCTCTCTACTGGCCCTGCCCCTTCTACCTGCTAACTCTCCTAACTATTACCAATGTCTGCTGACTCAGGGGGCCTGAGTCCTCTGCCCTGGGCCTGCCTCAGAGCCTGTTGCCTGGTTGTGGTTGGTGTGAAGTGTGTCTGCCAAGGCCCCTTATTCCCCAAGAGGTGATTTTTTTTTTTAAATGTCCTTTTCAGCACTGCTGCGAGGTCTGATTTGCCCAAGAGGCTCTGGAGCTTTTAGGATGGAGAAGTCAGGGGCTTAAGTACCCCTGGTTTCCTGGAAGAGGTGGTGTGGCACGAGAAATGGAGCTGAGTAGCCTAACTTGGAAAACAGATTCTTCTGGTTAAAGCCCTGACTCTGCCACTCTCTAGATCTATAAACTTGGGCAGGTTTCTTCGCTTCTCTGGGGCTCAGTTTCTTACTCTGGACATGAAAAGTATTTTTCTCAACTATGTGGGACCTGATGACATTAACTGAACTAAGTACTGTGGGCGAAAGCAGTGTTTCAGAACAGCCAAGGGCCTGCCAGAAGCAGAACATGTGGAGTGCAGAGGCCTTCAAATCCTAACTCTTCCCACCTCAGTTTACCCATCTTGCCTTTTATGTATGACATAGGTCTTAACTGAGTGTTGGGGCCACTTGGAAGACTTCAGCAATGAGCTTCAAAGACAGTGTCTCTCAGTTCTCCAACCTCACATCCTTCCCTCCAACCACCTACATGCTGTATTTACAACATATTCTCAGTAAGGCTATATCTCCACTCCCATCTGATAGAGAAGGAAATGGAGGCTTCTCTTAGAAAAAAGGGCTTGTCTTGGGTTTCTCAGCCAGTTAGCAGGAAAGCCTCTGGATTCAATCTGCCTACTTCTTCACTCTGTCTGCCTCTATATGTTGCATCCTCTTTCACTGGACATTTCCCTCTCTCTTTCTCCACTGCCCTGTCCTTCCTCACCTTCATGCTTCAGCTCAGCTCTGCCATGCTAGGAACTTTTCCTCTTCCATATGATTTTAAAATTGCATTTTTCTCTGATTCTACAACAATGCACATTAAATTAGAGAAGTAACACAAGTATAAAGAGGATTTTTTAAAGCACTTAATACCCTGAAGCCTCCTATCTTTTCTCTATGTATTTGTATACATGTTTTCATGAACTTTTCCCCAAATTTTCTTCAATACTTTGTTCCTTCTACTTTTCTTTTAACCCTTACAACTCTCTGACTTTCCCCTGATTCACCAAGACTGTGAACCCTGGGTAGGACAGGAAGGTTCTGTGTTGATTCCATGTAGCACCTTTGGCTAACTGGAGAGAATGTGGGTTCCCCAAAATGCAGAGGAGAAACTGGATGCCCACAACACACATGTAAGTCCCTTGCACCTGCCAGATGTATCATTCTTAACTTCTTTTTAATTTTAAATTTTGAAACGGGATCTCACTATGTAGCCCAGGCTGGTCTTGAACTTGTTCTCCTCTTCCTCCTGCCTCAACCTCCTGAGTGCTAGGCATTCTTTCTCTTTATTTCTTTGCATTAAAACAGACACACACAAGCCTTGGAAGGACCCGAAGGAGCTATCCTAGAGTAGTCGAACCCAGATGTACGCTGCAGCCCTTCCCCTCCTCCTTTCTCTGAGCCTGCTCTGCAGACTCTGAGTCCATCTCCTCATCTGTAGAATGGAGATAGGATGTATGGGGCTGAAGGATGAGATGGTATCTGAAAACAGCGTTGCGTCATGCATGAGAAAGGGCCCACAGTGAATACTATACCCGCCCTCTCTTTTTCCCAAATAATTAATATATCCATTAGCAAGCTCCATTTATTACAGATCTATCATGTGGTAAGCACTGTGGAAGCTGAAAAAGATGCCCTTCCTGCCTTAAAATCCCTGAAGACAACTGAGGAGTTGATTGGAGAGTTAGGTAGTCCATTATGAGGGCTAATTGAGCAGCCAGGACAATGATGCACACTGAGTCAGGGCTGGGAGCACTGGCGTGCTGGGTCCCCAGGGAGTCTACAGATGCATTAACAGCAGCTTTTGCTACTCTGGAAGCAGTTAAAGCAGGACTCCAGAGATAAGCTTATCTAGGATGTGGCCACAGAGCTGGAATTTGTCAGCTTTGGTTTTCTTAATCTGCCTCCCATTAGCAAAGCTTGTCTGCAAATTGTGAATTACAGCAATCTAGTGGTTAGAGAATTCATGTTAGTTTGGGTTAAGAGATTGGAAAGAGCCTACCAACCTCAGAGAAACGGAATGGAGGAGACTGGTAATTCTATTATACATCCCTCATGGCTGTCCCCATCACTCATCATTTTTGCCCCCTACCTGAGCAGGACGACAGTTTTAATGTCCATCCCTATGTTGACCCATCCTAAGTTTCCTGACAGAGGTACGGTGATGGGAAGCCACAGTGAAGAAACATTGTGTGAATATTTAAAGCATGAAGTTTGGAAGGAAATGTATTTACTCTGCTACTCCTTGCTGTGTGACTTTGGGCAAGTTATTGAGCCTCTCTAAAATTCACTATTTATAGCCAAAGTGGGAACAATCAAAATAAACCTTCATGTGGTTATTTTGTAAAGTACAAGAAGCAATACTATTATGGTACTTACCATAGTGCCTATAAAAGTTTGGTAAATGTCAACTGTTCTCAATCATATGAAAATAAGATCTATATACAAAGAGAGCAAGTTGATTTTTCTTAAATGTGTATGTCACTGGCAGAGGGCTGTTTCTGGAAAGATGGGAGATGTTCATTGGGCAAGGGTAAATTAACAAGCACAGAGAAAGTCGCTATCAAAATTCAAGTCACTTACTTCCTTATTTCTCAATAAAACTTTTTGCTAGAATTTATAGTGTTGAAATGCATTTTTACATCAAAGTTGCATGTATCTGTGCATTGATCCATAAGAGAAATAGTCACCAAAAAACCAGATCTGAATCGCATGCAGTGCATTCTATTAAAAAAAAAGTCAGTCACACCCTATTCCATTTTTAGGTCAGAGATTTCCTAACTATGAAACCACCTTGGTTTCTTGCTGCTGCTCTGAGCCAATCCTGGGTGACTGACTAAGCCTGGAGGTTCAATTGGAGGGTGCACAGCTAGGTTCTGGGGGAAGTTGGTGGGCTGACATGAAGAAGAGTAGCTTCTGCCATAAGGAAGCCACATGGGACCTTTAGGAAGGGAAGGGGTAGGAGGAGTAGGGCACGCTTCTTCCTAGAGCTTCAGTAAGATGGAAAGATGTAATTGCTGTTGATCTTCCTATTTGTGCCCCAACAGCCTTCCTGACAGCGAGACAGGAGAGGATTCCAGGTACCTCCTGGGGGGCTCATGGCTGGGGTAGGAGTGGGTCCCAAGGAAGAGAAGGGTCTGGGTAGGGGTGAGGGGCCTCTGGGTGAGAATGCTAAGTATGCTAAATGTGTTACTGACACACTCTCAGAGGTAGGAATGTTAAGTCGTGTTCCTCGGCGAAGGCAAAACTTGGTTTTGATAGAGGAGAAAAAAAAATTCAGATTTTACAATACTTTTTGCCCATCAAAGGGTCATAGTACATAAACAGGTGTTAGCATATCTGTGATATTAAATTCATGGAAAGCAGAAGCATAAAGTCAATTAAGGGTTTCCAGAGGCTCCTTTCAAGGGAGGAAGAAGGAATGACTGCTAATGTAGTGAGGGAGAGGATTCTTTTGGGAGGATGATGCATATGTTCTTGAACTAGATAGTAGTGATTGAATAACTGTGTGAATATCCCAAAACACACCAAATTGATTTTCTTAAAGGACAGAAAACAGGCAATTAGAAAACTATGTCTAAAATGGCTCTAGAAGTAATCATGAAAAAAATAATAATCTGAGAAACATAACTATAAGACAGGAAGCTAGATGTTGAGATAAGTCAGTCTCGTTGCTCTGTTTGTTCAGTGCAAGTCCAAAAATTCCAAAGGAAGCAAATCAACAAGATGCTGAGACCTCACAACCCTCCTCTCTCCTCCCCTCCCTTTCCCTGAGGACATAGTTAGGACCCTGGCCTGGGAAGGCCCGATCACCTGAGTAAATCAGTTAAGTCTCCTGCTGTCACACTCCACCACCATTGTCATCCCTTCCAGTGTTGTACATGCCCTTTCGCCCACCTTGTCCTCAATGTGATGACAGGCTCAGCTGTAGTGACAGTATTTCTTGAGCCAAAAATCATACATAGCATGTGACAAGTATGTGTACGATGAGAATGAAGAGATAGACTATTTGTCATGGAGCCATTTGGGCAGTCAGAGCATGAGAGCACCACAGCCAAAGTGGCCTCCCTGGCAGATCCCTCAGATCCCTCTGCCTTCTGATAAGGCCACATGGTCTGAGCCTGGAGCCCTGTTCAGCTCTTCTGGTGGCACCCAGCGTCCAGAGTGCCCTGCCCATGTGCAGCCCTGGGCCTAAGACTTCAGCCTGCTCATTTGAGCCAGATTCAGAGGCTAGGCCAGAGGAGCCTTATATTCCTCTCACTGGGAGACCCTGCCCAATGGTACTCCCCCTCCCCTTCTTCCTCTTTACTGAACCAGGCTCCCAGGGGCTCCTCACATACAGGTTAAGCAGTAGTAGCACCTCCAGAATGGCCATCCCCCAGACTTTACTTGTGGCTACCAATGTGGTTATCAAGGCACACTCAGGTGGAATTTGAGGGAGCCTGAAGTCTTTTTAGGAGATGCAGTCCACTGGACAACACCTGAGGCCTGTCTTTGCTCCCAACCAGCAGCCCAGAGCGGGAAACAGCAGCTGACTCTGATATCAGGTATGCGGTCTGGGAGTACTTGTCCTCCAGATTAGGCATTCCCCCCCTACCCCCCACACACACACAGAGGGCCTTTGGGCTCATGGGACTCATGTGACCCTAGGGAACATCATCAGGTCCAACCCCCGTGACTGAACAAGCAGAGAGGGGGTGGGGGGGCCTTTGTGCTTCCCTCAGGTTCAGGCGCTGCCTCCTTGCATGGCTACTCCCTTCACAATGGTTCACCTGGGTGAGGGAGTGGGGGAAGAGAGCTTGAAAGCCATGGTGCACAAAATATGATATCCATGGCTCTCAGTTTAAAAATAAAGTCTTTCTCTTCTCTTTGTAATTCAGTAGTGTTCAAGGGCTACTGAAGGAGGAAGAAATTAGGGGTTGAGTGATCATTGGTTTGGAGTGATCATTGGGCTATTCCCTGCTTCAGGTAGAGAAGCAGGAAGGAGAGCAGCCCACCGGGCTGGGAGGACTGGGTGTAGGGTAGGAGGCCAAGGTCCTGTCCTTCTCATAGTCAGCCGAGGCCTGCCCACCTAGATCTACCACAGGCCAGTGGGGAAGAAGAGGTAACAGAATGAATTTGGGGGAGGAAATATCTCTCTCTTGCCCCAACCTAAGCCATCAGCTTGACCATGTCCCTGAGATGAACCCCTGAGAATGCCTCCCTTAATTCCCAGTTCCCTTGCTTGTTCCAGAAAGAGGGGCCCTGTGGCCTATGCTTCTCAGAAACCATGGCTGCTAAATGCCACTGTAGAGGAGAACATCACCTTCGAGAGTTCCTTCAACAAACAACGGTAACAAAGGAGAGGCTGGGGCGGAACACAGGGCTCTTCAGGGTTACCAACCTTCCCTGGGCCCCAGTCCTCCCTCAGTTGCCCTGCCCCTCATTAGTCACTCACACCCAGGTGTTTAATCTGGAGTTCAGCCAATTCCATGTGGCTCAACTGCAAAGCATCCAAATGTACTGGGTATGGGATAGTCCATCACTATGTCTTGCCTCAAGCTCAGTCTGGTTTTCCATGCTCAACACCCCCTCCTCCCCGTGAGGACATTCACAACCAGCACCCACTGAGCTTTGACCAGGCATAGGCCCTGTGCCAGGTTCTTCCTCCATATGGTTTCCCCTAACACAACAATACTAAGAGAACCACACCTCCGAAAGGTTAGGTAACTTGCCCAAGGTTATCTAGGTGACTGAAAAAGGTGTCAAAGCTAAAGCTGCCTCAGAAGAGTGTTACCAAGACACTCTGGTGCTTCCATGGAGCCTGGCTGGCACCTGCCCAGGCTAAGGGCTGCTCAGAAGAGAATGAGAAGTGCAAGCAAGACAAATATTTGACTAGCCATCATCATTTCTGCCTAAATCAGCCAGCAGTGATTTTTCCCAGGCAGAGCCCTGAGGATAGGCTCTGACTGCAGCCTTTCCCACTGCATAAGGACTTGTCACTCACTCAGCCTGTTTGTTCCCATCCAATTTCATCCTTCAAATATTTAACTTGCTCCAAGTCTGCATGAGGGTGCTGACCTCAGCTGTTTTCAAACTCACATGGTGTTTGCTTGTGCCCAAGCAGGAGGCCCATTTAAGCCATCATTTACCAGGGTTCAGCTACCCATAGACAAATGATCCCAGGTGCTGAGGTTCCAATCAAACCAGGATGATCAGGTGCCCTCACCCTTACCTCTCTCCAGGTACAAGATGGTCATCGAAGCCTGCTCTTTGCAACCAGACATTGATATCCTGCCCCATGGAGACCAGACCCAGATTGGGGAACGGGTTAGTAGCAGCCTCCGTTGGTCTCCACCCACCACCATTACCCTTACTACCACTGTTCCCTGAGGTACTTCTCAAGAAGACTGAGTGACCGGGAATAAGGGGGGGAGGGTGAAGACTAAAGAGCTGCCTGATATGGGATCCAATGTGAACCCCTTGTTGATGGTTGTCCTGTTGTTTTTTGAGCCCTAGCTGATGGGCCAGGTCAGCTTCAAGCCCTCCCTGCCTAGGGATGGCAATATGTCTTTCATTTGTACCACACATATGTATACTCAGCCCACATGACACTGGGTCAGGCCAAAGGGTTGTATAGTTTCTGTTCTTGGTCCAGATGGAATCCTCCTTCATTAATTTTTACAAACAGAATTCTACCATCCTTTTCCTTGTGTGTGATTTAAATCCCCAATTCTTCTATTGGCAATATGAGAAGAATCTTCAAAGACTTGGAAATTCCAGTTGAATTCAGTAAATATTCATAAGTTCCTTCTCTCTACAAAGCAAGGAGGAGACTAAGAGATGGATAGATCCAGGCTTTTGTCCCAAAGAGCTCACAATCCAGTAGATGAAGGGAGGGGGTGGGGAGGGTGTTGTAGGGCAGCATCCCTGAATGGCTGTGGCATGATCTATTTCTCCCCTTTGGTGATAGGGTATTAACCTGTCTGGTGGTCAGCGACAACGAATCAGTGTGGCCCGTGCGCTTTACCAGCACACTAACGTTGTCTTCTTGGTGAGTGCCTGAGCTGGCTTGTCCCTTGGATCCTCATTCCTGACTACCTCCCTGGCTACTAGAGGCTTACACACATATGTACACATGTGTGCCATCCATCAATCTCTCCCCACCCCACCCCTCCCTCTGAGTAAACTTTTCCTTCCAGAGTATTTCTTATGGATAGGGAAACTAAGGCAAGGATAGAGACCTACTATAGACTTGACCCTGAGATCTACAATAGCCATGAGGGGAGTCAAGTTGTGGCTAGGGACAGCTTTTTAAAGGAGAGCTCCAACTTATCAACATGTCTGCAGACCAGCTATCAGAATAGCAAATGCATGGAATACATCCTACACTTAGGGCAAACATTGCTAATTGATCGCTGTATTGATCATGTAGCACTCCAGGTAAACACAAATTGTCAAAAATGAGATAATACTTATTAGCTACTACTGCATGACTTCATGCTAAAGTCTTTGTTAGAGGCTTTAGTTGATATTGAAGAATCCTAAAACCCAGCCCTTGGACTTGAAGATGTAGATTATGATTAGGAAGACAGAGTTTACCCACGTACAGGAGCCACAACCAGTTCAAAGTTGAGCTGTGCAGTGCAGAGTATCCAGGAGACAGCTTTATGGGCTAGAATAATCATGGATGACTTCCTGAAAGTCAGCCTTGGAGAGAGTTAAGCAGTTGAACAGAAGGAAGGTAGGAAGCTGTTTGGACAGGGCATTAGAACAAGGAACCTTGGGCCTCTGATCCCAGCTTTTATTCTCTTTCCTCTCCCATGACACACATGACACTCCTCACCAAAGATGCTTCAAAAGTGAAGGTTCATGGTCTGTGTTAGCACTCAGCAGATGAGGTTCTAGATCATTCAGGGTCTTGCCTGAGATAAACAACCATGTTAAGGAAAAGTGGGGAGAGTTTCAGAAACCTTTTTTAAGCTCCTACTCTGTACCAGTCACAGGCAACAATAGATGCCAGATCTTGGGAGTCTTCACAGTCAGAGCTAAATCATAACTCAAATCTGGCTTTGCACAGGATTTCCCAAGAGGCAAGAAGAGGGAAAGGTAGGAAGAGGGTGAGCTCAGGACTAGTTCTTGGGTGAGTAGGAGTTCCGTAGGCAGACAGAAGGCAGAACAGTACCCCAGACAGAGGGAACAGCTTGGACAAAGACCTTGAGTGGCCTGCTCCTTGGAAATCTAGAACAGAGGGGACTTGGGAAAGACAAGAGGAAGATTAAGCATGTTGGTGAGGGCCTAGAATGCTGCACTAGGAAATTTGGGCTTTATACATGGTGGGGAACCACTGAAGTTTCAGGAGACCTGAAGTAAAATGATTGGATCTGTTTGAGAATAAGAACTGATAGTAGTCCCATTTTAAGATAAGACAACTGAGCTCAGAGAAGTCAGATGAGTTGTCTAAGATTACACAGCTAACCAGTATCAGTCCTGAGATCATGGTTGATGTAACTCTGGTAGCTCTTCATGCTCAGTGTTACCCCTTCCCCCACACCTACCTCTGCCTTTTCCCCTCTGCACAGGATGATCCTTTCTCAGCTCTGGATGTGCATCTGAGTGATCACTTGATGCAGGCTGGAATCCTTGAACTTCTCCGAGATGACAAGAGGACAGTGGTCCTCGTGACCCACAAGCTACAGTACCTGCCCCATGCAGACTGGGTGAGAAGCCATAAGGGGTTCAGAATATAGATGCTTGGAGTGGGGGTGAGCAATCAGGCATCTTTAAAGGAGTCAGTCAGGTGTCTGGTAGCAATTGCCAAAGGCAGCAAAGCAGAAGAGACCAGCCCTGGGTGGCTTTGTACAGATTGGACAGCTCAGAGAGCTGTTTGAGATTTCCAAGGACCCAGGGATTTGAGGTCACCTTGGCCTTCAGATGGCCTGTCCCCCTGTGCATGTACCCAAGGCTGGCACTAGTCTTGGGAATGCAGAGACACTCAGTTCCTAACATCTCTTCTCCCCTAACTGATGCCTCATCCTTCAGCCTCAGAAATGTGTGGATGGGAGAGCTGTCTCCCCTCCTCTAACTTCCTGAGAGTGTTGGATTCAAGATGGGATTAGAAGGAGATAATAGAAACAAACAGTGGCAGTAATGGAAACTTTAGTATTCCCAATAGAATGCCTTTTGTGAAACCTCACATTAATTACATTCTCATATTCTTCAACAAGCAGAAAATGGTTACTTTTTAAGTCATTGGCAATCACTCTGTTTCCACAATGAAGATAATGTGAGTTTTGAAATCCAAGCCCTGCCTACTCCTATATAAAATTTCCTGAGATAGAAGCCAAAACTTGAGATCTTCTCTGAGCTTCAGACCTATGCCAAATGGTCCTCAAATTTCTCCCCAAATAACTCTTCCTTCCATGTGTGCTGAAATCCTCCTCCACTGTGAGAAAGACCAAAAAGACCAAAGGAAGTCCATATTTTTAAAACTATCCAAACAGGTACAGAAGGCTTATTTATGAGTTTCTGTGCTGACCCTGGCAGGGTAATTCAGAACAATCCTGAATTCAAAGAAGGCAGACACGGGTGCTTAGTTTCCTAAGATGCCCATGAACAAGGTTTCTAGGTGTCTTCCCTGAATCCCCTCACAGTATGATTGAGAAGGGTCAATTAATTGAGGACTATGTGACAGTGCCATTGGGCATTTCAAATAAAGTCTGGGTGGTTCCAAAAGGGCACAGACACACATATTTAGACCAACATGAGCTTTGGCAAGTACTGAAAGACTCTACAAGCCCTGCCATCGGCAGGAGCAAAGGGTAATTGCAGTTAGCCTGTTAAGCAGATGAAAACTAGTACTGGTGGAGTCCTTGTGGGTAACCGCCATTTGACTAGGAGGAACTCAATTGCTCTGCAGATTGAACCACTGAGAATGGTGTTGGTAAGGGTTGGTTACCACTACTGCCTACTGAAGTAAATGAAGAAGGCTACCCCTAGAAGGTGAACAGTTATACACACATCCATCTCAGCCATGGCTCCACCTCCTCAACCAACCTCCATGCCAACTTTGTTTTTGCCTTTGCAGATCATCGCCATGAAGGATGGCACCATCCAGAGGGAGGGTACACTCAAGGACTTCCAGAGGTGCGAATGCCAGCTCTTTGAACACTGGAAGACCCTCATGAACAGGCAGGACCAAGAACTGGAGAAGGTGAGTGTATCTTGTGAGGTAGGCAGCCACTCTTGGATATGAGGTGCTGCTAGAAACTGCATTCACAAAGGCCTACCTATTCTCACTATCCTTGGACACCCCCAAAGGACAGCACATGTGAGCTGGCATGAACTTACTCATATCAGAGAAGAGCCAGTGCCTATGCCAGGTCCCCAGAGCAGAAACAAATAAATGCATGCCTTCCTCTCATCCTCTGGTACTTACATATAACTCATCTGTAAAGCTTTGGGAAATCAACTCAAACTGGCTAAGCAAAGACTCATCAGACTGTCATTGGTCCAATTTAGTTCTGCATTCGCCTCTGAATAGATCGTCATGGTGAAGGGGATGGAATATGAGGATTGGCCCATCCAAGGTTGTGGGCTGTGAATCACTTGAATCACAGAAACTAAGTAAAGGGGAAATGATAGATCTACCACCTCCTCCTCCACTAGGATCATAAGGTGCTGGTAGCTGATGAAGTGGAAGGAGTACATATCTATGTACATCTCCCCAAGCCAGGGGCTGCCTAGAAGCCTGACACTGGTCACCATGGGAATGGTTGCTCCACACACCACCTCCCTTTTCCTACCTGCACAGCCTGAAAATTGACCGGCTCCTGTCTGTCTTTAAGGAAACAGTCATGGAAAGAAAAGCCACAGATCCTCCTGAGGGCTTGCCCCGTGCCATGTCCTCAAGAGATGGATTTCTGCAGGATGAAGAAGAAGAGGAAGGTACAGAAACGTGGGACTAGGTGTAAAATGATCAACCACAGGGATACTAAGATGTTGGGTGCCAGGTGTAGGGAGAGAGTGTGTCTTGATTAAATCTCTCCTTCTCTGTGTACCTCAATTTCCCCATCAGTAAGTAGGGATAAATGCTCATTGGTTCATCCTTAGAAGGATGTGACATTTAAAGTCACAGAGTGGGTTCTTGCGGCCTACAGAGGAGGCAGCCGAGAGCGAGGAAGATGACAACCTGTCGTCAGTGCTGCACCAACGAGCCAAGATTCCATGGCGAGCCTGTGCCAAGTATCTGTCCTCAGCCGGCATCCTGCTCCTGTCACTGCTCATCTTCTCCCAGCTGCTCAAGCACATGGTCTTGGTGGCCATCGACTACTGGCTAGCCAAGTGGACTGACAGTGCCCTGACTCTGAGCCCTGTGGCCAGGAACTGCTCCCTCAGCCAGGTGTGGCCACAGCCCCACAACAAGGGCCAGGGTGGGGGAAGAGGGCTGAGCCTATACATGCAGGATCCCTTATTCTCTGCCTCTCCAGGAGTGCACCCTGGACCAGTCCGTCTATGCCATGGTGTTCACTGTGCTCTGCAGCCTGGGCATTGTGCTGTGTCTCATCACCTCTGTTACGGTGGAGTGGACGGGGCTGAAGGTGGCCAAGAGGCTGCACCGCAGCCTGCTGAACCGTATCATCCTAGCCCCGATGAGGTAAACACACACACACACACACACACACACACACACACACACACAGCTATGTGGTAGCTAGTCATTGACTTCTGAGCCTCAGTTCCCCACCTATAAGCTGGGCACAGACTACCTTTGTCATAGACTTGTGATGGTGACACAAGGACACAGTGAATGTTGGACTGTCCTCCTCAGCTCTGTGTGGATGTTTGGCATAATTAGTTCATCTAAATGTCCCACTAGCCCTTTAACATGAGCATCTGTAGGCTCTGGGCAAAGGTGAGCTCCCTGCCTTAGATAGTGCCGACTGCCCTTTGCCACCCACCGGCTCTGCTGCCACTTCTCTCCTTCCCTCCCTCCACCAGCCTGGGAATGGACATAGTGTTCCAATCGTCCTAATGGGATAGATATGAAGCTGAAACCTGCCTGGTTAGGAAAACTTAGCACTGTGACTGCCCAACTGGCCAGACAACTCAGTGTAAAAGTACAACAGACAAGTAGGTTATCAGATCCCTGGAGGACGTCAGACCTATCACCTGACAACACTTTCTATCTTGCTGCTTCCTGGGCTCTCTGTGGCCATGAACATGTCCTCCACTTAGCCTTTATTTGCTCCAGATCTGTGGTTCAGAAATTCTCTGGGGTTGGGCTGACTCCAGGTCACAGCCTAAGCACTGGCTTAGGGTTTTGCAGGGTCAGCCAGCTGACAGGCTGTCCCAGAGCCTGGTTCTCCTGGCAGGTTGTCCTACTGAAGAGGACTGTATGTCCCAGGAAGACAGCTGCTGAGTGAGTGAGCCAGGCTAACAAACAGTTGAGAAGGGTGGCACTTGTCACAAATGGGCCTTCAAGTCAGTGAAGCTAACCAGAGGCTAACACCCCTTTGAATAACTGTGGGAATTCTCAGGGACATGGGCCATATGTCTGCAGACATGACAAGGCAACTGCTCCCAGGAGGTCAGACTCACAGGTGACTCTGGAGACACTGAATACCTTTGCTCAATAGACAGAGAGCAAATCAATAAATGAATGAATAACTGTTCTGCTTGCCCTCTCAGGTTCTTTGAGACCACACCCCTTGGGAGCATCCTGAACAGATTCTCATCTGATTGTAACACCATTGACCAGGTGTAGTAGACTATAACACATTCCCTCCAGAGAGGGAGGCTAGGCCCCAGGGAGATTCTCCTCTCTCTTTATGCTGGGCTCCCCAGATCAGGTGATCAAAGCCCTGGGGGAGAAGTCCAATGTTCCTGACCTGATTCCAATGCTGTATCAAGGCCAGAGTATCCCCATGAGACCTTAACAAAAGATCTGAGAGAGGCTGAGTGCTAGTGGCTCACACCTGTAATCCTAGCTAATCAGAAGGCTGCAATCTGAGGATTGCAGTTCAAAGCCAGCCTGCACAGAAAAGTCCATGAGATTCTTAGCTTCAGTTAACTTGGAAGTGAAGCTGTAGAGTGGTAGAGCACTAGCCTTGAGCAAAATAGCTCAGGGATAGAGCCCTGCCTGAGTTCAAGCTCCACAACAACAACAAAATAGATCTGAGAGAAATCAAATCTCTTAAGCTTCCATCTAAGACCTTACTAGCTTCATTCCAAGTTTTGGCATATTCTGAACCAATGTGCCCAATTATGTGGTAAATATTCATTTGGATTTGGCCTGTTCTTCTTTACTTTTACCATCTTAGTAGATGGTAACAGAATCGAGTCATGATTTCTTCTCTCAAGTAGCTTATGGGTAGATGGATGGTTAAGCTATGTGCCTGTAATGAAGTCAGAACATAAACACCATGGTAGGTAACAGTCTGAACACAGTCTAATCCAGATGCACCTTACTGTCTCCCTCAGCACATCCCATCCACGCTGGAGTGCCTGAGCCGCTCCACCCTGCTCTGTGTCTCAGCCTTGGCCGTCATCTCCTATGTCACACCTGTCTTCCTGGTGGCCCTATTGCCCCTGGCTGTTGTGTGCTACTTCATCCAGAAGTACTTCCGGGTGGCATCCAGGTGATGGCAGCACTTGCCAACTTTAGGGGGCGGGTAGGGAATACTTTGTAACAGGCAGTTTGGTATACTTGCTATAGAGTTATCATCCTAAAAGTAGTAGAATCATTTCTTCCCCCCCCCCAAAAAAATAGAAATAACAGATTAACTGTGACGTAAATATCCATATCGACTCCCCCAACATGGTTATCTGTTAGCATACACAAACACTGCAGTTCATATCTAAATTATTTCCTTGAGAGATATGGTCAGGAATGGGATTGCTAGGTCAGAGTGTGTGCACCTTTATGTCCTTTGTTTCATTTTGCCAAGATGCTTTCCACAGGGCTGCATGATTCCAGGAGCCCGGCTGATTTAGGAACCAGACTAGTTTCCAATACACCTGATAAGAGAGGTGTTACTGACCCACACTTCCCAGCTAGAGGACTCTAAGCATGGCTGGAAGACTGTCCTGGACATTTTCATTGGTCATATTTGCCCTCTCACCTTGGAGCCATGTGTACCCCTTTCCTACTCAAAATTTTCTAGAAAGAGAGAAAATTTAGCTTTTAACTCTAAACTCTATTTGGTGATTATACTGTTTCTAAATTTGCCTCCCCAAAACAGACTGTAAATAATGCCAGAAAATTGAGACTATATCTTGTTCTTAAGAATTTCCCACTCTCATAGTAAGCAGGCATTACTATTTGTCTAGTAGTTCAATAGATTAAAATGTAGAAATCTGTTATGTATGTGTAAAGGAGGAATTAAGTATACATTGAGGTTGTCATATTGCTCTGTCTAAGGCAATTCTCATAAACTAACTAATAGCAACTCCTCTCTAAATACTCATTAATACTTAAATAAAAATTCTAGTTGAAGTATCTATACAGTTAGGTGCTGGTGGCTCACATCTGTAATTCTCCTCAGGATCGCAGTTCAAAGCCAGCTGGGCAGAAAAGTCCATGAGACATAAAAATCTTGCAGGTTTATGTGCCTCAAGTGGCTTGAAGCTGTGATCCTGAGATCCTGGCCTTCAGAGTATCTAAGGTTGTAAACATGAGCCACTGGCACCTGCAGTTATATGCATTCTTTATTTAAAACAAAACCACACTATTCTCCAGGAAGTTCTTTCTGGGAGTGATTCTGTTAAACTCATAGATTAACAAAAAATTGGAGGAAAGTTTTAAAGATCCTCTAAGCTACTATTTGTCAAATTGCCATTTACAACAAATAATGGGTCATGAAATCAGTATCATAGATCACAAGTAGCACTTTAAAATGATGAAATAGAAAGGGTATGTATGTCTGTATTTGTATAATAATAGCAAGCTATACTTTGTGAAAACTTTGTCTTGGTCATGTAGGAGTGACAATACTGATTTGTGATATAAAATACATTTTGTATGCAGGTTGTGATCAGAAAGGTTGAGTACTCTTCCCAAGTGTATGTAGCTGAGTAGAAACAAGAGTCAAAATACTGATCAGTAACAATAATAATTAAATTTAGATGCATTCTGACCACAATCACCTGCCCTATGGGACCAATGTTTGTATAAATGGCTTTTTGCTTGAACAATCCAGAACCCCCTGGCACCAAAGAGGAACATAATACATTGATATTAACAGAATTATAGTGGCTTTTCAGACACCCTACTGTACTTTGTATTTGAAGAGTTAGAAAACAATGTAGCACAGGCTGTTCTACAAAGTTTATTTCTTCTGCCAGAGGAAATGTTCTCCCTATTCCTCTGGTTTCTACTCTGGTCCTGGAGATGAGTGCCTGGGAAAACTCCACCCTGATGTATAGTCAAGGAACAGCTGTAGGGAAAGAAGGATGCCCTGATGCCACGGAAACATCTGGCCTCTCCCTCCCCTACAAGTTTTCAGACTTTAGACTGATGCAAAGCCTATCTTGGTCCTTGGGAGAGGAGGGATTTGAATTGGCCTTCTCATTCCCTTGACAAACTATCTCAGCTGTCTACCTGGAAAATGGAGCCAGCACTCCCTGCCTCACCTTTCCTCAGTGCCAGGCTGTACAATAGGAGCCCAGACCCAAATGTGAGCTGACAAATGCATAGGAAGACAGGAACTAAGCCTAGCAAGCTCTAGTTGAGCATTTTACATTCAGCACTCAGCCTGATGTACAGGTCCCTTTGTCCTCCCTCTCTGCAGGTGAGAAACTGAGACCTGGAGAGATGAAGCTGCCAGCCCACATCCTGCTAGGTGGAGCTGGGATGCATACCTAGCTGCACCCTGACCCATCCTCCTCACCATTCTGTTCTGCTCCTGGGCACAGGGACCTGCAGCAGCTAGATGACACCACCCAGCTCCCACTGCTCTCCCACTTTGCTGAAACCGTCGAAGGCCTCACTACCATCCGGGCCTTCAGGTAGGAGCCCGGATCCTCCCTTCTCTTGAGATAAGAATAGAATGAAGAAGGGCAGTGTCACAGGTCACGAGATTCAATTGAAAGCACTCTTCTAAGGAAGGTCCCTTTCCCAGGACCTTCCAAGGGACAAGCCCAAGGCCTTTGGAGCCAAGAGCATAAAAGGAAACAAGGCCGGGCAAGTCTCTATGTATTAATGCTAGAAAGGCCTTGGTTCCCTGGCACCAGCCTTGGGGCCTCTGGGGATGAAATTCTTCTGTGTCAAATGCTACTCCCATTCATTGTACACAGCACAATCTCAATACACAAGTAAGGAAACTGAAGAACAGACTTGAGCCTCCTGGCTCAGCCAACAAACACCTACCATAGATACTGAGCTCCACACCAGGCACTAAAGAAATGAATCAGGTAAACCACTGCTCAGGAGGCAGTTACAGACTAGATTTAGAGCAGCCCAGAACAAATCCATGTGACAGCACTCTGCTAGATGATCAGTAGATGCATAGAAGGGAGAACTAATCATCAGGGACTTTACAGTGGACAGGTCACAGGCTCTAGGACTCCAGGAATGGGTAAGAGTTCATCATGCGGGAGGAATTATTGTAAAACTTCAGTACCCTGTCACCTCTGGCCACCCTGTGTGGTGGTGTTGGTCTGGACAGGAGTGTCTGAGGCTGCAGGGGAGTGGAAGAGGCCATTGCTGCTCTCAGCCAAATCTCAGTAGTATCTATTGGGGTATCTCTCCTCCTTGCAGCCAGGACAGAGACCCCTGACCCAGAATGTTGGGCTCTAGTCTCTAAACCTCACCTAGATGCTGATAGCAAGTTATTTTTAGAATGGCACAGCTGCACAGGGTGTGACAATAACCATGTGACACAAAGCCCTGTGTCCAGGAGGCTCCAGACTAGCCATTGGCTCAGAGACACTTGTAACTTCTCCCCCAACCCAGAAGGCTAGGGTCATCCTGGGAAAGGTTCCTGAGGCTCTGGCACAATGCTACAATCTCCACTCACTGCTGGGTAATGTGAGCCAATAGGAGGACACCTCTTAAGAGTCTCATCTTAGTAAAGCAGAGCTGAGCTGAGCAATCCCCTTAGCTGTTTCACTGACTGAGCATTCCCTGCCCTTTACAAGCCCATGCTTCTTCCACTTGGAGGCCTTGGAGCCGGTCACATGGTTCTAGAGTTGGCTTCTAGCCACCTTCTCATCTCAGTCCTGAATTTCCACAGGTCCAACCACTTCCAGGTCTTTCCAAACCCCGTGGCCTAGCTGCTGCTGTAGCTTTACACTTGGTGTCCAAAGGTCTTGGGGCTGGGCAGAGAGAGTATGACTTTCCTAAAGTGGGCTGCACCTCTTGTGAAGATTCCAGCACCCCGTTACCAGCCTCAGATCAAGGCTGAGCTCCAGCCAAGCCTGTGGTCAGCCAGAGGAGCTGCTGCCCAGGGGGGCCTCTCACTCCTGACACTGACACCATGAATGCTTTCTAAGTGAATGGAAGATTTTTAATCACCCCTGTGTCTAACTTGTTGGCTGTAGCCCAATAGCCTGCCCTGTTGAAAACAAGTGTTTATTGATTCCACACTTCCAGAGTACCAACTGCTATGTGTGCATGATTGCATTTAATCAACAAACAGCTTTGTAACATAGGTATGGGAAGCCATGTTCTACAGATGCAGGATTGAGAACCAGAGAGGCTACACAAACAGAGTTGATGCAAGGCTTGGAACCCAGCTGATTTGCCCTTCTAGACTTTCACAAGATGCGCTGTTGGGTTTTTTGTTGTTGTTTATATGTTTTGTTCTGTTTTGTTTTTGCTTACAAAAGTTTCTAATCCTCAGCCCTGGGCTTGATGAAATTATTGGCTCAGAGGTTCTTCCAGTACATACAGGAACTATTACTTTTGTCCATGAAGAGACCGAATCTCCTTCCTGACACAGTCATGACATTAAGACTCCAACCTGGGTTAGCGCCACTCTAAAACTGGGCTTTTCTCCATAGTTCTCAGGTGCACTGTCACACACTTACAGCTGGAGTGTGCTCCCTCACGCCCAGACTCTTCGATCGTGCACATAAGCCCTCAGACCCACACATACTCAGCCTCAGCCTCCTCTTCCACATATCTGCACTCACACACACACACACACACACACACACACACACACACACATGCACATGTACAGTTTTACAAGATATATAGTTGCACACTCCCTCATACTTTTTTTTTTTTTGTCGGTCGTGAGGTTTGAACTCTGGGCCTGGGTGCTGTCCCTCAGCTCTTCAGCTCAAGGCGTGCACTCTACCACTTGAGCTACAGCACCACTTCTGGTTTTCTAGTGGTTTATTGGAGATAAGAGTCTCACGGACTTTCCTGCCCAGCTGGCTTTGAACCGTGATCCTCAGATCTCAGCCTCCAGAGTACCTAGGATCCCTCATACTTCTTGTCCACCCACACACATCAACCATTTGGCCATGCAATCATGAACTTCAGAGACTCACTTCACTATCTGCACACACACATGCCCTCCAAATAGAAATAATCCAAGCTGAACAGCTTCATAAGTAAAAGTAAATGTCCAACAACAATTCCTGGTTTCCTTTGAGTCCCTAAGATTGATTTTAGCAGATCAGTAGTAGTGAGATGTCTTCTCTTTCCCTCATCATGAAGTGTTCCTCTGCATCCTCCAGGCCTGCCCCATTCCATCAAGGTCTGAGGGAAGTGGCTGGGGGCCCAGGCAGAAAGAGGAGGCAGGGTCCATGAACAATGAGACAGGAAAATGCAGTGAGTGTCCAGGGTGAAAAAGAAACCTAGAGCTCCCTACACAGAGAAATCTTATCTTCGAATATATATATATATATATATATATATATATATATATATATTCAATGATAAAGCCAGGTGTTGATAACAAATTCGACCTGCTCTATATCCTCAAGGTTTTTCCAGTTTGGTGAATGAGATGAGTCAGAAACAGCTACAGAAGCGAATGTACAAGCAGATCACATACTATGCAGTTAATCAGCTGCATAGATGGAGAATTGGGAGAAAGGGCACTTTGGGTAAAGGAATGTCCAGTAAAAGCCTCTCAGAGGAGATATCAGTTGATAAGTAACTAAATTTGTGAACATGAAGTGAGAAGATATTCAAGCAATTGGCAGAACCTGATCCAAAGGCCTTAGGGTGGAAAAGAGCTCAGTATTGTCATACTAACATTTGAAAAGGCCCCAGGTGGCTGTGGCGTACGTACTGAACAAGGGAGCTTATGGCAGAGATGAGTTCAGCAAGAGCTGGCTCACACAGGCCCAGGGTAAGGAGGTGGTTCCTTACCCCAAAAGCAATGGGAGGCCGTTGCTATTCTCAGTGGGGACAGTTTGTGATTTACAAGGTTGCTGCTGACAGCTCAGAAGAGAGAGGCCTGCTGGGAGATTACAGAACATCTGTTAGGGAGCCCATGTAATAGTCAAGTGGGCAGGAAGCAGGAGCAGTATTGACAGAGGCAAGGATGGTTTGGGAGATAGATATAAGATGGCTTGTGATTGGATATGAGTCCTCAGTTATTGGCCTGAGAAACTAGGCAGATGGTGTTGCCCTTTAACATAGGGAAGACCTGACAAGAGGCAGAGGTCTTTGAGTGAAAACAAGAGGATGAAGGAAGTAGAAATTGACAGGTTAGAATAAGTTGGAAGGAGCTGGGCAGGCCTTCTAGAGGTGTGGTACATGTACAGTAATAGGGATAGCATGTCTGGGGCTGATGAGACCCAGACAGCCTCACTGTAGGAAGGGAGGGTCCCAAGATCTATGCAGTCCTACATCACTGCCTCAGAACCTCCTCTTCCTCTCCCCAGGTATGAAGCCCGGTTCCAGCAAAAGCTTCTTGAATACACAGACTCCAACAACATCGCCTCTCTCTTCCTCACTGCTGCCAACAGGTGGCTAGAAGTCCGCATGGCAAGTGCCAATGGGAGTGTGGAGTCTGGGCAAGAGCCAAATGTGGGCTAGGGGTGGGAAGAGAAGATGGGGCAGTAGATCATGGATCCTTCCTGCTCTCCAGCCCTGACAGCGTCTCTGCTTGTGGGCTTCTGTGTCTGAGGTGTATACCAAGAGCAAAACTAGTTTGTGTAACTGTGTGGGTACAGAGTTAAAGAATAGTAGTGAGTGGGGGGTGGGGGGCGTGTGCACGTAGCAGGCCACTTGACACAGACATATGTGTACATGTAGGGTCCCTCAGTGAGTCACCCCTGCTCAGAGAGTGGGGAGTGGAAACTTGGGGCACAGGCTAGCTCCTGTGCATCAGCTTTCACTGGCTTCCAAGGTGTGTGATGTGTGAGTGCTGGTTTGGGGTGGAGCTGGCTGAGCTGCTCTCTGCCCAGGGAGTGAGGAGGGATGGGGCTACTGTGGCTCCAGCTCCAAGGGCTGGGGCCAGCTGCTCTCCCTCCACAGGAATACATTGGTGCATGTGTGGTACTCATTGCGGCCGCCACCTCCATCTCCAACTCCCTGCACAAGGAGCTCTCCGCTGGCCTGGTCGGTCTGGGCCTCACTTATGCACTAATGGTGAGTAGCTGGAAGTCAGGGTGGGGTAAGGTCAGACATCTGCTCTCAGGATCCCAGGGCCCTTCTGCAACCGAGACCTGGGACTGTCCCTCTCCAGGCTTTCCCATGTAGCCAGAAAGACTGACAGGACCCAGAGACAGGTAGTGAATAAGGAGCCACAGTCACTGTGACCCTTATCATGCCCCCAGGGAGGCCACTCTGAACTGGTGGACAGCAAAAAAGTATCTAGGGGCTCCTGACCCTCAGCTTACTAGAGAGCTTTGTTGATCCAGGGCAAAAGTAAGTGACTCCTGAGTGTCTGTGACTGGCTTACTCCACACAGGTCTCCAACTACCTCAACTGGATGGTGAGAAACCTGGCAGACATGGAGATCCAGCTAGGGGCTGTGAAGCGTATCCATGGACTCCTGAAAACAGAGGCAGAAAGCTATGAGGGGCTGCTGGGTGAGAGCGTGAGAACTCCTGGGGAAGGATCTGAAGGAGGGAATGGCCGGAAGGAGGGGTGGGAGTCTGCGAGTAATGACACTCCAGATAGCAGGTGTGGCCCAGCCCGGTGGCTGACCCCCAACCTCTCCCCCCACCCCCAGCACCGTCACTGATCCCGAGGAACTGGCCAGACCAGGGGAAGATCCAGATCCAGAACCTGAGTGTGCGCTACGACAGCTCTCTGAAGCCTGTGCTGAAGCACGTCAATGCCCTGATCTCCCCAGGACAGAAGGTCAGACAGAGGGCCCAGGAGGGCAAGCAGAGGGGTGGCTCAGAGTCACCTTGTGCACTCCCAGATCTCCTCCAGACCTCGCGCCTCTTCAGACCCCCAGATTCTTGGCTCTGAGCCTGTCACTCTGACAAGATTCCTTCTCCCCTTCCTCTTCTCGTCTTGCTGTTCTCAGGCCCTGGCTCCTCACTACCCAACAAAAAATGAACCCCCTGAGCAGCCCTGACTTAGAGGGGCTTTGTCAGGGGCTTCTTCATCTGAGCTTCAGCGCATGGGCGTAAGATGGAGATGGAGGCTGCTCTTGACCTCAGGGCGGAAGATACTATCTAGACTTCTGACTTAGTTCTTCCCATGTCCTACCTCACTAGGCCCATCTTTCTCATACTGCTCCCTCCATTCACCTCTTTCTCTCTCTCATAGTCTGTGGCTGTCTATTTCATTATCTCTTACCTCTTACCACCACCTCAGCCTCTTTCCATCTGTCCTTGCTTCACTTGTCTTTCTGTGTTGCTATCTCTATCTCTGTATTGTTCTCTTGTTTTAATTTCTGCAGGGATCCAAGATCTAGGAAGCAATGCATGGGGTTGGAGCTGCCCCAGGTTTAAGGTGGGGAACACACAGAGATATCCCTGCACACCAAATCTGTGTTCTCTTGCTACACCCATGTAATCTCAGCTCCCTTGCAGCTGCACACCAGGCAGACCCAAACCCACACACTAGGCCCAGACAAGAGGATATGTGCACCCTGCACTTTTCTCGGGTCCCCATGTGAGCCAGCAAGCCCAAGCCTGTAACCTAGCCTGGCCAAAGCTAGCTAGTCAGAAAACCAAGACAAGAGGCAATGCTGTGACCTCCCACACCTGAGCACACACCCCAAGTCCAACACTCAAGGCCCTCTCAGCAGCCCCCAGAGCCACAGCAATGCACCTGCTTCTCTCTTTCCAGATTGGGATCTGTGGTCGTACAGGCAGTGGGAAGTCCTCCTTCTCACTTGCCTTCTTCCGCATGGTGGACACCTTCGAAGGTAAGCGAGTGGATGTGCCCACCGACGCGACTGCCATCCTGGCCTCTGGCCAGATGTCACATCAGGCCCAGTAGTCACTGCCTTCATCTGCATCCTCATGGGGCTCTGTGTCTCAGGCTGAACCCAGTCACAGCACTGCCCTCACCCTGGTGGTGTTCCATCTCCTCCATGCAGGCCGCATCATCATTGATGGCATTGACATCGCCAAACTCCCTCTGCACACCCTGCGCTCGCGTCTCTCCATCATCCTTCAGGACCCCGTCCTCTTTAGTGGCACCATCAGGTGAGTCCCAACTACTCCTCATCTCCGCCCCAGCTCTGAGTGGCTCAACTCCCTTGGATTTATAGCTCAAAGCACCCTAGAGAGACAGGAGCAACACTTTCATGCCCTTCCCATTAGGCCCAAGAAGGCACTGGTAAGGCCCTCTTGCCTGCTCTTGAATGCTGCCCTCTACCACTGCCTTTACCTTGGTGCTCCCCACCCAGCCAGGCCCCCCAAGTCACTCAGTTTTTACCCACAACCCCTTCACCACCCTCACCCTCTGAGAGGCCACGGGGAGAATTCAGCAGCAGGACTCTACTCCCCTCTCTGTGGACTTTCCGTACCCTTCTCCAGATTTAACCTGGACCCAGAGAAGAAATGCTCTGACAGCACACTGTGGGAGGCCCTGGAGATCGCCCAGCTGAAGCCAGTGGTGAAGGCACTGCCAGGAGGCCTGGGTAACCATTCCTGGCACTAATGGGCTCTGGATGGTGGAGGAGGGAAGCCTTACGCCCAGGTCTTAGTGAGCTCAACTTTAGAGCCTGGAGTCAGCAAGACCCCTAAGTCCACTGAGTTCTGCCTTTCACAATACAGAAAGGTCACAAGTTACATAACTGGACAGTTCAAGGTCTGGCTCCTCCTGCAAAACAAGGCTGGGGGGGGGGGTTGAAGAGGAGGGAAAGAGGGTCAGGGAGAGCAAAGACAACAGCTGGTCACTGTAAGATGGAGGTTGCAAGTCTCCAAAACCACAGGTGGTGTCTTCAGGCCTGCTTTGTCCCATCTGCCTGCTGAGCTAGTTCTGCCCTGAAGGAGGAGAGAACACAGAGAAATCATAGACACAAGACACTGGTTGGGTCTTGCAGGAAAGACTTCTCCCTTCCAGACCTCAGCACAGGCCTTGGTGTGTTTGTGTGTGCAGCTCGCTCCAAGCTCAGTGAGCTGACTAAGCTTTGGCTTCAGTGGATCACTCCCCCACACCATGGCCCCCACACATACTGCAGACACTCTTGCCCTTCTTAAGTGCCATTTCAGTACATACCATAGTGGGGGCGGGGTGGGAGGGACTTCTCACTCTAATCACTGCATCCATGTTATGTCAGGTGCACAGACATGTGCTTACTGACACACAGCCACACACTCATGCCTGTCCACACACTTCCCTACAGTTCAAAATGAACTCAGCCCTGCTTCCCTCCCCTCCTGGATGCTTTCAGATGCCATCATCACGGAAGGTGGGGAAAATTTCAGCCAAGGTCAGCGACAGCTGTTCTGCCTGGCTCGGGCCTTTGTGAGGAAGACCAGCATCTTTATTATGGATGAGGCTACAGCTTCCATTGACATGGCTACGGTTGGTTCTGGGCATAGCTGTGGGGCGTCAGCTATGGAAAAGGTCTTAGTGAGATGTCAGGGATCCGATTACACAAAGTAGTCCTAAGGTTCAGGTTGCGCTTAACATCAAGTGTGACACAGCAGCACAGGCAAAGAAAGGGCGGGGGGACCCTGGCTCCATCTAGGAAGCATTCACACCCACACAGACTCTACACCAGCATGCAGAGCACAAACTCCCATCCCAGCAGGCTGAGACTTAGCCGCTGAGTGCTGGGTGAGCATGGTCAATCCTACTGGGACTTGGGCCAAATAGAAAGCAGAACATGGAGCAAGGATTGGGGTCAAATGGGCCCCCTCGGTGGGCAGGTGAGCCAATAGCTGCTGCCTCTACCTACAGGAGAACATTCTTCAGAAGGTGGTGATGACGGCCTTTGCAGACCGCACTGTGGTCACCATCGCGGTAAGGAGCCCTTCAGTGGGGTGAGAGGGCCACATGCTGAGCTGGTCTCCTTCAAGGAAGGACCCTGGAACAGCTCAGGAGAAGAGTCTAGAGTGCTACCAGAGAGCCAGGGCAGGATTTGGGGAGTGGGCAGGATCTGCACCTATACTCCCCTCAGACCACCCCCTCTCTTTCTCCAGATTCCAAGGTCCACCCCTGTCCCAAGGCCCCAGGAGCCAGGCTGGGCTACTTCTCCATAGGAAGGGTGGGGGAGGTCTCTGAGTCTGGAAGCCTGGAGATGAGGGCAGAGCTGGAGGGAGAAAAGTTGTATTAATGATAAGGACCTGGGTCACAGCCCCTTCCTGCCACAACAGTGGGACATGGAGCCTCTTCCTTCAAGCTGCAGGAGGGAGCTCTTAGTAGCTACCCTGCCCCTTCCCTACCTACCTTCCCACACCTGACCAGCCCCTCCTGCCTGCCCAGCATCGAGTACACACCATCCTGAGTGCAGACCTGGTGATCGTCCTGAAGCGTGGAGCCATCCTGGAGTTTGACAAGCCAGAGAAGCTGCTCAGCCAGAAGGACAGCGTCTTTGCCTCCTTCGTCCGTGCAGACAAGTGACCCATCAGAGCACAAGGGCCACCACACTCTCACCCTGCCCCATCCTTGCCTGGGTTTTCTAACTGTAAATCACTTGTAAATAAAGAGATTGATTATTTCCTTTTCTTTCTTCCTTTTTTCTTTTTGTTGTTGTGAAACTGGGACTTGAACTCAGTACCAGACACTTTGCTCATGGGCTGACACTGTACCAACTGTACCAACTGACCTGTGTTTCCAACCCCTGATTATTTCCATTATTATTATGACCTTGGCAGATAAGGACTTTGCTACACTGTGGACACAGGGGGCAAGGCTGCTTCTGACACGTGGCAGCGCTGAAGACACTGTGTGAGCATGGACAAAAGCGTGTTCCTGCTTTGGGAAGTGAGGGTTGTGTGGATCTGTTTGGGCTACCACAACAAAATACCACAGACTGGGTAACTTTAACAACAGAAATTTATTTCTCACGGGTGTTGGCAGCTTTGGTTTCTCCTGAGGCCTTTGTCCATGGCTTGTAGCCATCTCTCTGTGTCCTCATGTGGCCTTTTCCTTGGTCTTTCAGTGTCTGTCTATCCCTCCCTCCATCTCTCCTCTTCTTCTATCCCTGACTCTCCTTATAAAGACACCAGTCACACTGATATAGGGTTCCACCTTTCCTACTTCATTAAGCCTTCTTACCTTCTTGCCAAATACAATTATACTGGGAGCTAGGTCTTCAACCTTTATGAACTTGGCGGGGGGAGACAGTTCAAGCCACTGCCAGGATGATAGCATTTCTGTGGTGACCCCATCAGATAAAGTAATAGATCTCTATCCAGTTTGGTTCTCTACCTTCTCACTTTTATTCTTTTTTTAATTTTTTATTGTTGTTATAAAGGTGATATATAGATGGGTTAGTTATATAAGTCTAGTGCTAAGTACATTTCTCTTTGGACAGTGTCACCCCTTCCCTCCCTCACTCTTATTCTTGCATTAAAACTATGCAGCCTCATGCTCTGGGTCAGCACTAATTCCATTGCACAGGGCAGGAGCCTAAATCAAAGTGGCTTAAACAAAAACTTAAACTTACTATGTTTAAACTTATTACGGTATGTAACCTAAGAGACCAGGAGGTCTTCAAGCATATGAGACTCCAGGGATATGTTTCCACTTCTGGGTTCCATTTTTCTCCCTTTCCTGAAGGCAGATGGCCACTAGCAGCTCCAACTTATATCCTACTTCAGGGCAAACAAGAGGAAGAAGAGATGATGTTTCCCAATAGTTTCATCAAAAATATTGAGAGCTAATCTCACTTTGGTCACATTGCCACTCACTGATCAGAGGGCTGGAACACACTGACTGGCCAGGCCTAGACCCCAGCCCCGTCTCTCTATTCCCTGAGCAGGGCATTCAGAAGTGACAGAAGTCTGGTCCTTGTAGCATCTGTACCACAAGTCATCCAGATGGTAGCTGGGAGATCCGGGGGTCTAGACACCAAGGGACCAAAACTTTTATCTGCATCAGGAAATGGGAGTACACACATGCCTCCAGCCAAGAAATGACAGGTGCTTATTTACCTACCATTTTATGTCTTAAGGCAGCAACTCTCTTGAGTCTGAGAGTCAAAGCTGCACAATACAAGGAAAACCTGCCCATCTGGAGGGGGCCCAGCACAGGCTGGTGTGGAAGTGCTGTGAGCAGAGGAGCTCAGGACCACAGAGCACTTCAAGGTCTGGCAGGCTGGGAAAGGTAAGATTTGAGCTGGGTGTGGGTGGATAGGAATCAGATAGGCAGAGGGTTAGAAGGGCAAGGGGTAGACTAAGTTATGATGGAGAAAGTGAGTTAGGAGTGTCCGTGATCAGAGAAGCAGGGAAGGCATCAGCTCAGAGGAATGCAAGGACAAAGAGTATGAAACAGGCCTACAGGAAAAGGGTTTTGAGCCAGAAAGAAACCTAACAAGTGCAGTGTCTAGGGGACGTGAGTATTAGCCAGCATGGGACAGAGTAGAGTCAGATGATGAACACTTTGGATAGGAGACTGATAGTCCTGTCAAGTTGGGGCATTGACTAGCTGGGCTCCAGGGCCATGCCAGGGCCTGGCCTTCTCAGCTCTGAGCTGCCTCTGGTAGGTTAGCAGCTTCCTCCAAAGTGGGTTTCTAGGAGAAAAGCCCGTAAGGGGCAAGAAGACTCTACCCTTTCCCAAGCCCATCCACCTCAGATGATTAAAGTGGCAGGGCCATGACAGGAAGTCTTGTGAGAATGCCCAAGGTCATCCATTATACTTTGGTGGTTTACCTGCTTTGACCTGGATTCTCCATAGATGGACCATCCCTGCTGACTGTCACTAGAACTGATTCTTGCACCTGCCTCTGTTTCATTCACTGTCCTAGTACTACCATTTGGGCCAGGCAAAATTATTAAACCAGTCATGCTTCAAACCTTTGGTTTGGTGTTTTGTTTCTGAGATAGGATCTTTTCATCCCTGCCCTGGTGGGGCTTGAACTCAGGGCCTAAGTGCTGTCCCTGAGCTTTTGTGCTCAAGGCAAGCACTTTGAGCCATAGTGTCACTTCTGATTTTCTAGTGGTTAATTGGAGAGATAAGAGCCTCTCCTGCCTGGATGGGACCACGATCCTCCCGTCTCAGCCTCCTGAGTAGCCAGGGTGACAGGCATGAGCCACAAGTACAATTTTTCCTAGTCTGGCTTCTGCCTTCTGAGTATTACAAGTATGAACTACCAACCCCACCTGCAAATATTCTTTTGTAAGGGCTAACAAAGTACAGTTGCTTCAGAGATTTCTCAAGTAACTGTCTTTCCTTGATCTTCCTGCTTAGCTCAACATGATTTCCTCTTCTACCTTAGGCACTGCATCTCTCTTAATACAGCCAAAGACGACACCCTTGGTAGCAGGGTTTCCTTAGGATGCAAGTAGGTATGGGAAATAGGAAAACTCACTCTCATCAATATTAAAGTGCCCCACTGTGGCCCATATCCCCAATCTTCCTATTTCATTCCAGCCCCTTGCCTCAAGCCCCCACTCCAACAAATGCTCACTTAAGGGCAAGAGTTTCCTCTCTAAGGATCTAAACCAAGGAGTGGGTGGAACCATTGGTTAGCCAACAATTCACAGGGCAGTCCGAGGTTGATGCCTGCAATAGAAACATCAATCCTGTCCAGGTTAACAGCCTGGGGCTGACAGTGTCCAAACTCACCCTGAAACAGCCACTTTGTATAGCCTCACGGGTTACAGTGTGAATATTATAAAGCAAGTGGCAGCAGCTTAAACCCTCTTTAAAATGGGGGAAAGGACTGGAGCTTATCAATGTTTAAGATGTGTGTGTGTGTGTGTGTGTGTGTGTGTGTGTGTATCCCTTTACATTTATTTAGTGTACATTACCATGGTAACCTAGTAACTTTCCTTTTTGCCCTTTAATAAAGCAGTTTACGAATACAATACATCTTAATCAATGTCACCCCTCTCAATATTCTCACAAAACCCTCCCCTACCCATCCCTTTCCCTCCCTCTTCTTACTTTTGTAAGATATACATTGGATTCTCGACTGTATTCTCCCCTACTTCTCATTCAGATGACTACCCTGTTCCTTTGACCCCACCCCCACTCCTTCCTAGTACCAGCTTCCTCATGTTGGTTTTGTTGTTGTTGGTTTTGCTGAACTTTGATTTTTGCCTTTCTAAGGAATTGCACTGTTTGAGCTCTCCCCAAAGTGTGTGTGTGTGTGTGTGTGTGTGTGTGTTAAACAGTCGGGGATTCCGTGCTTTCAGGAAATTCTCAGAGGATCTAAGACAAAGAAAAGACTGAGTGTCTCCCAAAGAGAAGCTGCTGTCAGTTGGGAAGTCCTGGGGTCGTCTAACGCCCCCCGCCCCGCGCCCAGCCCCGGGTTGGTGATGCCACCACTCCGGGTCTCTTTCGCCTGGGAACCTAGCTAGGGCTGCATTAGAGGCAGTGATGACCCAACCGCGGACATGGAAAGGGACCGAGGGGAGCCCGGACGATGGTGACTGCTGTCCCAGAACAGGAGAAAGGTCACGCTTCTTGGCTGCGCCCCAGTTTCGTAGTAGGGGCCGAAGGAATCTCTTTTAACCCATCCTGATTGGACAACCCCCAGGGCTGCGTCTAGAGGCGGAGGCGGGGGCGGGGAGGGGGCGGCGCGGGGCGGGGCTTGCGCCTGGGCCCGCCCCCTCTCCCTCTCCGGAGCAGGTCGGGCTCCCCCTGGCGGCGCGGGGTTCCCTCTCCGCTCCGCGTGCGCCTCCCCCCACCCATGTCTCCGGCCCCCACCTTGCACAGGTCGGTATCTGTGCACCGACCGACAGACAGACAGACAGGCGGGGAAACCAGCCGGCGGCGAGCACCCGGGCGGCGGGAGGGGCGGGGAGGCGACGGCTGTGGCTTGAGGAGCAGGAGCAGGTGCGGCGGCGGCGGCGGCGCGGCGAGCCGCGGGCGGAGCCGGGACGAGCGGCGGGCGGGGGCCGCGGCGCCGGCGGGCGTGCGGCGGGGCAGCCGGGGAGGCCAGGGCTGGGGCGAGCTGGGCCAGGGCGGCGCGGGGCGAGGGGCTTCGGAGTGGCGCGGCGTGGCGGGGCGGGGGCGGGGGGTGACTCCGGAGGGCGCAGGATCCCAAGGAGACGGCGAGGACGAGAGCTGGGGGAGGCTCCGGAGCGCGGCCGGGGCTGGGGCGGGAGAGGTGGGGTGGGGCGGGCGGCAGACCCGGAGCCGCGGCCGGGCGCGATCGGGTCAGCCAGCTCAGAGGGGATGGGGACCCGAGCGGGTGAGGCGGGAGGAGCGTGGGGGTGGCGTGCGATCTGGGGAGTTGGTGAGATCCCGAGGTGTTAAGTTCTGAGGTGGCTCGGGGAGAAAGGCTGGACGGGGGTGGGGGGAACCCGGGAGTGGGGGTCGGCCGGTGGAGGACAGCTTGGCCGGAATCCAGGGCCGGGTGGAGAGGCCATGGGCAGGGGGGTTGAGTTGTGAGGCTGAGGCCGGGGCATCTCCGGGAGTAAAGTGGCTCCAAAGTGAGCGGGTCCCTCGGGCGGGAGGAGGGGGCCGACCAAGACCCGGGAGTGCTGCACTAAGCCAGGCCAGGGCAGTGCCACCCCCCACCCCCACCCCCACATGGGGGAAGCCCCTCCCCTGG